GTATAGTAAAAAGTTATATGAATGTAGTAAAAAGTAAAATTATAAAAGAAAATAGAAGTTATATGTTCCAGGATCGAGAGTAGCTGTATTTACATGGAAAAAGGCTGTTGTGGAATTGGTTGGGAAAACAGAAAGTGCGTATGTTGCCGAACAAACTCCAATGGTATGAATTGTTGTTTCATTTACAAATGTGCATCAATAAAGGTTTTAACTCGAAATCTAGTGCAGTTTATTTAATGATTTATTTTATTAAAATTCGATTTAAAATTGTATTGCTCCCTCTTTTAATTGTATGTTTCTTGCGAAATATAAAACTTTTCAACGAGCAAGAAAAAAATGTTCTGAAATGGGCAATTTCAGATCATTTATTTGAATACGCATGCAGCTTTGGAACAACTACGTGAGCATGCTGAATCAGTAGTTATGCAACAAGAGCAAGCTCGTGGGCCATCGTTAATGATAGTGGGTCCAACAGATGTGGGTAAAACAACGGTCTGTCGTATTCTGTGTAATTATGCAGTCCGAGTGGGCAGAACACCAATATTCGTCGATTTGGATGTTGGACAGGTAATTTTTCGCCTAAGCGGAAACGAAAAATTAAGACTTCGAAATAGTCGTAATTACCTTCTTGGAATGATTCTAATATTAATATTGGATTTGATATTAACATTAAAGATTAAAATCACTTGTGGGAAAGAATGAAACAAACCTCGAAAATTTTCTGGAACTTCTTTAATCTGAATGCTTAATGGTTTATTAGTGGTTATATTTTATTAGCTCAGAGAATGGGTTTTATGGTTTCAGGGAAGTATTTCTGTTCCCGGAACTGTTGGAGCACTCTATATTGAGAAAACAGCCGATGTTGTTGAAGGTTTCGATAAAAAAGCACCTTTAGTTTATCATGTATGTTCATATATGATGTATCATTATTGTATACATGAACAGTTTCTTTTAAAATTTCTCCTAATGAAGTTAACTTACATGAATAATACTTCACTATCTCTAATCATTTTTCATAAGTTAGTTTAAGTCCATTGTCGAATTCCTCCAAATATTTGTCGAACTAGCAACTTACAAGAAATTCTTGCTTAGGATTAAATTAGTTTTCAAATTGAAGATTCTTTTTCGTCTTCTTATTGCTTTGGTGGTATCCACCGTTCTTTTGTAGATATCTTATAATAACCTGTATAATAATCTTAAAGTTTATAGTTTGGAAATCTTTCACCCGGTTCTAACATTCCGCTGTATGATTTATTGGTGAAGCAACTTGCGGAGGCAATATCAAAAAGACGAAAATCTAGCCAGGATGCTACTTATGGAGGAGTAATAATTAATACATGTGGTTGGGTTAAAGGAGAAGGGTAAGTCATTTATGTAATTTATTATTAAAAACCTTATGGTTGTATTTTTCTCGTATAATTTTTTTTACCCAGTTTATAATTACTTTATTGGGGTCTGATGACGAATATTCGAAATAGTTATGATGACTTTCTAATAGAGACGTTATGAAGCATATAGAATTAAAAATTAATTAAATTTAGGTATGCATGTTTAGTAAATGCAGCAGAAGAATTTGAAGTTGATGTTGTGATTGTATTAGATCACGAGCGATTATACAATGAACTGCAGCGAGACTTGCCATCTTTTGTTAAGGTTAAATTTTTATTCTCATCTTTTAGTCATATCTCTCTGATGATCCGGACATATCGTAAATTTGGTGTAGCAAAAACATGTTATAAATAATAGACTTTTAAACAGGTCATCATGGCATGTGATTTAAGACTACAAATCTGCTTATGCAGCGAATTCAAGAGATAGATTAAAGAGGACAATATGAGACTGCGAATATTATTAGCTTCGCTGATGTGTAATCACAATTCAGAGCAACTGCTTACTTAATAATAATAATAATATCATTATTATTATTACTTAATAATAATCGAAATTTTTTAATACTAATAGTATGGTTTTGTATTATTTATTTGCTTAATGCAACTAATGCTAGAAGAATTGGCTATTTAAATATTTGAATTTTACTATTATAGATTTTACATCAACCGAAGTCTGGTGGTGTTGAGAATCGTTCAAAAGAAGTTAGAATATCGAGCCGCAATGCTTTTGTACATAAGGTTTCTGTATTAAAAATTCGTCACTGAAATATTGAGTTTTGTTTATAACTGTATGACAAGAAATTGTGTATTACTGTACATTTATTTTGAAATGCACAATGTTTTTTAGATTAAAATGACTAAATTTATCAATGAAATGCAATAATTTCAGTATTTTTATGGTACACGCGCAATGCCACTTTATCCACATACATTCGAGTTATCATTTGATGAAGTTCAATTCTGCAAAATTGGCTGCGAACGATTGCCTATCGAATGTTTGCCGTTTGGGATGAAAGTTGATGATCACAGGACAAAAGTATTCGCTTGATTTTTTCCACTGCTAGATGTAGCCTTAAAAAAATTATGAATATATTAGTTGTTTATCTGATTTTATGACTTTTCAACCGAATTTTGATAAAATGCAGCTTACAGAAGATAACCTATAAGAATGTTAAATAGAAAAAAAAATACAAGAATTATCAAGTATCATTGGATATTCTTTCGAAAGTTATTAAAAATTTGCAGAAATCACGTCTCAAAAAATAAAAAATATGTATAAAAGATAACTCACATTCAATATATTCCTATTTTGGAATAAACTTTTCAGGTAGTACCAATAGAACCATCGGAAGATTTGGTACATCATCTTGTGTCGCTTTCAATGTGTACAGCTGTCGATCAGTCAGTGCTAACAACGAACGTGATGGGTTTCATTGTGATTACGGCCGTCGATATGGAACGAGAAAAGCTGACAGTACTAAGCCCACAACCTTATCCGTTGCCATCCAAGATTCTTATTCTTAGTGAAGTTACATTTATTGATGATAAGGAGCGGACTTAAGTTCCAAAACACTAATAGTTTGATTTATATTGATTACATAATTAATAAGGAGTGCTTGCTTCGCAAGAATTCAATTTTGATTATAATTTTTTGCTGAGTTGCTCTGTATTAGATAAGATTATAATATTGCAGTGCTTTTCGCGTTGCAGTTTTAAAATTTGATGTAAGTGTGAAAATTTGATCTACTCCTTAAAAATTTGATAAACTTTAATTATTTAATTTGCAAATCCGCAAATATATTGTTCTTATTTTGTTAGTTTCTTGTTGTACTTGTGGAGTTGAAGAGTATTCCATGTTAGTTTCAGTTTTTCTGAAAGTAAAATTCCGTTTTCATTTCACAAGAAATGTTTTTGTTACATGTATATATGCTTTATTAATGTATGATTAATAAATATTCTTATATGGAATTTTAAACTTTTTGTAATTTTGATGTTTTTACAATACAAATGAAGTTGCAGAAGAAGACAGAATTAAGAAGACATTCCCGGTAAAAGATCGTGTTGGAAGGATTCCTTTTTTACTCAATGCGACATTAAGGCCTATTTTCTCCGCCAATGAGAATAAACCGAAACGTCGCTCAATCATGTATGACATATGACAGAAATTCATCTAAAATTAATGAAAATGGTGCGATACTGAATGTTACATACTGGTTTTATGACTTACATTTATTTACATTTTCTTCATTATCTCATCTTATTCTTTCATTTAATGACAAAAAGTACTAGTACGACTAGTAATAATTTTAATCAAATTCAAAATAGGAAATGATTTTTTGCAATGACTTTTTTTATTATGCATAGATAAAACATTTAAATTGGTATTAGCTATGCATAGTTTAGCTTGTAGTGGAGTTAGACAACTTTTTCAATTTTAATTTATTGTTGTAATATGTGCGATATGATAAAATCAATTGAAGATAAGATAACAAAAATGATGCAAATGTCGATTAATGATTAAAGTGCATTAAGAATGCTCATATGAAACACTGAGACATCTTGATGCTTCTGGTAGTTTCATTTACTTTAATGATAAATGATAATTATCATTTGATAATTTTATTGATATCATTTGATAATTTCATCGATAACTTTAATGATAATTAATGATAAATGATAGGAAGTTTACGGAAGTTTTAATTTTGAATATATAATAATATATGGAAGTTTTAATTTTTGAGATAAACAAAACTAATGGGTGGAATAACAGATTGATATCAGTAGTTAAAGTATTCGCTTAGTTTTATGATTAGAATAAAACAAGTTCTGTGAAGAGAATGTAAACAAAGGTTTTGGGTATGAGATCAGCCAGCTTTAATTAATGGATCTTTAATTAATAGAATGAAATTTTCACCCTGTCCGTTCCTCTTATTTCTCTCAATTACTCAAATAAATTCTCTGTCTCTCAAAAGTTCACTAATGTACACTTTTCCATCTCTTATCACTTACCCAATTATTAAATTTTTTTTTTTTGATAACAAATTTTTCCTTTTTTTTATTCGCTACTGACTGTTTCTCTTTTATTTCTTTTCTTTTGTCCTTTTTTTTTTTTTTTTCAATTTTTATTTGAACATTTATTGTTCCCAATTTCGCTGACCTTTTTACATTCTTATTACAATTTCTTTTTTTTTTTTTTTGCTAAATTTTGCAGCTTTTTAATGAAAAAGGAAAGAAAAACAAACGATAGTAAATTGAAGGTCATTTTTTCGTTAAAATTATTTACACAAAATAGGTTGTAATAGGTTATTTCCTGATAAATTTTTATTTAAAATCATTACATTTTTGATAGACATTGTATGTGGGATATATTTTCTTCTATTCAAGAATGAACATTATTCATTTATTTTGATTTTCTTTTCTTTTTTTGTCAATTTAAATCATTTGAAGTGTTACGTGTGTCAATTGTTAGTTAAAGTGCAAAATTTTATCCTTTTTCGATTGAATATTTATTCGAAAAGAATTTCATAAATTTGAGTGAATTTTTTTACAAATAGAAGGAACAAATAAAATTAATTTGTATTTTTATTACTGTCTAAAACATTTAGGTACATGGCAGCTAATTTATCTAAAGTCGCTTCTCGACTGTCACAACATTCCATATATGGACAACGACATTTGCAATTTCGAGAAGTGCTCGGAAAGGTATGCAAAATTTATTTTCTTTTCTCTTTCAATTATTTATTTATTATCATTTTTTTTTTTAAATAATAGTTTCGAATTTCTTTTTTGATTCATCTAATTTGCTGTGCAAAATCCGAATTTATAATCGAAGAATAACAAGAAGTAAATTTTGCAAAAAAACATAAAAACAATTCCGACTGTCGCATAATAGTTTGATATTTCTAGCGAAGCGGTATCACAGATATTTATAATTAATTACAGTTAGTTATTCAATTATTTAATTTCATCGATTTCTGTGTGCAGTTAATTAATTATTATGATTTTTGAAAATAATTAATTCTTAGTTCATCGACAAAAACATCAATCCGTATGTTGACGAGTGGGAAGCACAGAAACATTTTCCAGCACATACTTTGTTCAAGAAATTAGGACTGCTCGGAATTTTCGGTGTCAATAAACCAGCTGGTAAAGTTTCTTTCTTTTTCTTCATTTTTGATAGATACCGGAATTTTCGGTAAATACCGGAAGCAAAAGATTGGAAGCAACCGTTAGCAGTGATAGTTATATGCCTGAATCGGTTAATCCAGCATTAACCATCCATCATGAAATTAGTTACACTGCCAAATGTTCGATCACTTTTTTTTTTTATATTTATTTCATTATTTTTTAATTGTATTAATAAGACATATTGAATAAGTCTTTGCGCAAAATCGTCGACATGTTAAGTCATTTGCGCTTGAAAAATTTGATGAAATTACATTGAATATCAATTAGATAGCTTTAAATAAGTAAAAAGATAACTGAAGTAACATAAAAGTGGATATAAATATTCTTATTTCTAGGTTACGGTGGTCTTGGCCTGGATTTTAGTTATTCGATAGCCATAGCTGAAGAACTAGGACGAATTAATTGTGCAGCTATTCCGATGGCTATAGCTGTTCAGGTTTCAAAGAAAAATTTTTTTTTGTCTTTTCTTTAGAATTTTTCAAAATTAGTAGTTTTAATTCACTTTTTTCATAAAATAACTACAAGAAACAATAATTACTGATGATAAATCATATAAAGGAAAGCTTTATGAAGAAAGCTTCGAAATGAAATTTTTTAATAATTAATAATTAAATAGGAAATGAATTATCTTTTTGATTTGAAACAAAAATGTAGTCAGATATGGCTACACCAGCGCTATCTATGCATGGAAGTGATTACTTGAAACGTGAATTTCTTCATGCTACTTTAGACGGTGACCTGGTGGCATGTTTAGGTGTATCGGAAGCTTGTGCTGGAAGTGATGTTGCTGGTAAATTTTACTTAAGATTATTAATTAATTAATTAATTAGTTATTAAGAAAGTCAATTTTACTCATTTTTTTCATAATGTTATAACACATAACAAAAAATTTTATTAAACAAATTTTAATAAAATAAAAAAGAAACGAAAAATTAAACTTTTTTAACAATTATTTTTTTTTAGCAATTCGTACTACTGCTCGTTGGCATGGAAATGATTTGATTATTGATGGTAGCAAACAATGGATAACAAATGGTACACAAGCAGATTGGATTTGTTTATTAGCTAATACAAATGATAAGCCATCACCATATCGAAATAAGAGCCTTATATGTGTACCATTAAATGAGCCTGGTTATACTTTCTTTTTTTTTCTCCACTATTTTTACTTATTTTTATTGATATTTTATGAATTTTTTAGAATTTATCGTTGTTTTTTTTTTTTATTTTTCATTTTGTTTTTGAATTTTTTTTTCTTTATTTTACATTAATTTAATAATGAGTGATATACATGAAATAAATATGAAATTTTTTTTTCTTTTAAATTTAATAATAATTATAATATTTAATAAGTGTAATGTTTTACATTATTTATAATTATTTCAGGTGTACATCGTTCGAATTGCATTGAAAAACTTGGTATGCATAGTTCTGATACTGCCGAGATTTATTTTAATAATGTTCGAGTGCCAAGTCGAAATATCATTGGTGAAGAAGGACATGGCTTTGTTTATCAAATGCTACAATTTCAGGATGAACGACTTGTTGCTATTGCTGTGCGTAAGTTTATTATATTATTATTATTTATGTATATGATATGATTCATTATAATATGATAATTTATCATCATTATTACAACTATTCGTTACAAATTGATAAATTTTTTAATCTGTTTTAACTTTCTAATTTATGTTCATTTTTTATCAGATTTAATTATTGCCTATTTATTCTTCGATATTCTTCATACTTTAAATCTTATCAAATGATTTTCCATTACATTTAGTACTTGAGCCAATGCAGAAAATTATTGATATGACAATTGATTACACGCGACAAAGACGTGTTTTCGACGGAACTATCCTAGATAATCAGGTTTGTATAATTTCAATTCTTTTCTTCTCTTCCTTTTTCTCTAATTTATGATTTTTTTTTTTTTACATTTGTAAATGAAAATAACAATTGCTCGGTTATTTGTGATATGATAGAGTAAATGTGAAGTAATATTATGTAGTGTTTATACGATTTTATCATTAACTTTTACTCATAAATAATATTTTTCAAAGTTTAATATATTTAGTATTACTTATTTTGTTAAAATATACATAAAGTTTAATATTCTAGAGAAAAAGTGGAATTAGAAGAAGTATTTATTGATTAATTTTCAAGTATTTAAGTGTTATATACTTTTCTAATAAAAATGAATCTCTCTCTCTTTTTTTTTTTTTTTTTTTTTTTTTTTTCATCTTTATTAAAATTTTAAAAGAGTTTTAAATTTTTAAGATTGTACATTATCGTTTGGCTGAATTACAAACAGATATTGAAGCAGTTCGATCACTATTATATCGAGCTGTTATGGAACGATTACTCGGGAAAGATGTTACAATGTTGGCTAGTATGGGTAAATTAAAAGCTTCACGTTTAGCTAGGGCAGTGACTGATTCCTGCATACAGGTATTAATTCCTGATTATTACCGGATAAAATTGTTAGAAGATATTAATTCTTGATTATTACCGGATAAAATTATTAGAAGATATTAATTTCTGATTATTACCGGATAAAATTGTTAGAAGATATTAATTTCTGATTATTACCGGATAAAATTGTTAGAAGATATTAATTCCTGATTATTACCGGATAAAATTGTTAGAAGATATTAATTCTTGATTATTGCCGGATAAAATTATTAGAAGATATTAATTTCTGATTATTACCGGATAAAATTGTTAGAAGATATTAATTTCTGATTATTACCGGATAAAATTGTTAGAAGATATTAATTCCTGATTATTACCGGATAAAATTGTTAGAAGATAATCGAAATTTTTATTTACATAATGAATTAGCTATAGTCTTACTGTTAATTTTCTATTATCATTGCTATGCTGACCTTTGCTTGAACCCTTTTAATTTTTTTTTTCTTTTCTTTTTTTTTTTCTTTTCTTTTTTCTTTTTTTTTTTTAGAAATTTACGTCTTTTAAATCTACCTTTTAAAAATCTACCCTTTATCTTTTCTGACACAAGTTTTAAAATATAAAAAATTCGGATTATTACTATGATGTTTCTATATCTCATATAGAATGACACACAATCAAAATAATTGATAATGAAATTTCCTTTCTTCTTTTTCTTTTCTCTCTTTTACAATATTATTATTTCAAATTCAAAAATTTAATTTTTTTACTTTTAATTTTTAAATGGTTGAAGATATTTTTAAGCGTAAAATGAATTACAGTTTTGGGGTGGTAATGGATATGATTGGAATAATTTGATCAGTCGTTATCATCGAGATTTTCGATTATTCTCAATTGCTGGTGGTTGTGATGAAGTAATGCTCCGAATTATTTCAAAACGAATGAATATGATAAAATAAATAAAAATTTTGTCAATGTTTTTTTTTTGTTGTTTATTATACACTTTTCAAGCATTGCTCATAACAAATGTTTAAATTTTAATTTTTTACTTTAACTTTTTTACAATGCATTCATACAATTATCATCATTATACATTTATCTTTTCATCTTTCATATATTTTTTAAATTATTTTTTCAATAAGCATCAAATATTAAAAAGTGAAATTTTCAAAGAAGTAAAATTATAAAATTTTAATGGAAGATGACAATAATTTGCTATCAGATTTAAAATTATTATCTAAAAGCTAAATTAATTATAAGCAAATTTTTTTTTTTTTTTAGAAATTTTTCTCGCATTAATTCTTTTTTTTTTTTAATAGATTTTTTTTAAAAACGATACTAATTTGTAAAACAATAAATAATCTAAATGATATACGAAGGAATAAAATATGTATAAACAATATATTTTCTTCATCATTTAATCAATTTAACTTAACCATTTTCAATAAATAATTGACTAATAAGCGATTTTTTCTCTGTTTCTAATAAAATATATTATTTTTCAAACTTTAATTTTCTATTTCAAATTCCTTTCGAATGTTTAAAATTTCGTTTGATTAATGTATTTTAAATCATTACACATAATATTGTAAAAGTAATTACATTTAAATATTGTCAGAATTTGTTGAGAAGTTTCAACAAATTATGTTTTTTTTTTTTTTAATTAGCCTAACAAATAAGCATAGTTATAAGAAGAAAATTTTTCAATGCAAACTAAAGCTAAAATTAGTTCAATTAAAAATGAAACTTCGAAGGTTTTCTTTTTATTATATGTGAGCAAATAAAAAAAATTTTTTTTTTTTTTTGAAATAAATGGCACAATTTATCATTTGAAGTGAAAATTTATTCAGTTTAGCTTTAATTCTTAAATTTTTCTAATATCAAAAGAAGGAATTGATTTTGATTTTATTAGAAAGCACATTTTATCATTATTTTAGCTCTTTTTCAATTTTAATTTTATGAAAATAAGTTTATGATACTATTATGATACAACAATTTTTATTTTTTTTTCTTTCTCAAATCTAATGAATATATTTTGTAGAAATAAATTTTTAAGCTTTTATTTTTTTGAATCATTTATAAGAAAGATTTAGAAATGAGTATTGCTTTATTTAATTAGAAATAACTACAGTGAATGTATTACAGTTGCATTAATAACACATTATCTACTCTTAGGTCAATCGGTTGTCCACTCTTAGGTCAATTGGTCAGCTAGAATAATTATCCATGTAATACTTAATTGACGGAATTTGTTAATTAAATTATCTCATAACAATTTTTATTTCTGCTTAATATTTTATTCGTCTAAAAATAAATAAAATCAATGCATAAAGTTAACTTAAAATTAATTTTCGCTTCTCGTATTACTCATACACGTACACTTTCTTCTCGTATTACTCATACACGTATACTTTCTTCTCGTATTACTCATACACGTATACTTTCTTCTCGTATTACTCATACACGTATACTTTCTTCTCGTATTACTCATACACGTATACTTTCTTCTCGTATTACTCATACACGTATACTTTCTTCTCGTATTACTCATACACGTATACTTTCTTCTCGTATTACTCATACACGTATACTTTCTTCTCGTATTACTCATACACGTATACTTTCTTCTCGTATTACTCATACACGTATACTTTCTTCTCGTATTACTCATACACGTATACTTTCTTCTCGTATTACTCATACACGTATACTTTCTTCTCGTATTACTCATACACGTATACTTTTACTTTCTTCTCGTATTACTCATACACGTATACTTTCTTCTCGTATTACTCATACACGTATACTTTCTTCTCGTATTACTCATACACGTATACTTTCTTCTCGTATTACTCATACACGTATACTTTCTTCTCGTATTACTCATACACGTTATACTTTCTTCTCGTATTACTCATACACGTATACTTTCTTCTCGTATTACTCATACACGTATACTTTCTTCTCGTATTACTCATACACGTATACTTTCTTCTCGTATTACTCATACACGTATACTTTCTTCTCGTATTACTCATACACGTATACTTTCTTCTCGTATTACTCATACACGTATACTTTCTTCTCGTATTACTCATACACGTATACTTTCTTCTCGTATTACTCATACACGTATACTTTCTTCTCGTATTACTCATACACGTACACTTTCTTCTCGTATTACTCATACACGTATACTTTCTTCTCGTATTACTCATACACGTATACTTTCTTCTCGTATTTCTCATACACGTACACTTTCTTCTCGTATTACCCACAGACGTATTCAAATATACATATTCACGCATTAACGTATTAAACTATATGCATAGACGACTAAATAACTATTCAAATAAGATTTTCATATGTACAATTTAATTCGAAATATTTTTGCATACAAAAAAATGAATATTTATTCTTTTTCAAAAAAAAAAAAAAGAATTCATTAACTAGTAATAGCATCATTTTTTGTTGTATACAAAGTTCAACAAAGTATATTTGTTTAGTTTATTTATCATTTGGCTAAATTCTAAAAGCTTAGTCTTCTGCACCATCGAACATTTCCATTTTTCATTTGTAAAAAAGGAAAAAGTATTCCATTTTGTCCTCTTCACAGTTCTTTCATTTCTGATTCAGAATAATAGACTTGTAATCCTTTTTTAGCTTTAAAACCAATGAAAATATTTTCATAAAGTATATTTCATTTTAATAGATTGAATACTTAGAACTTTCAATCTTTTTTCATCTCTTTCAAAATGCAACAAAAAATAATCAATTTTCTTTTTTTAAAAAAAAATTGTTTTTTTTTTTTTTTAATAGGTTATCATTTCTAGAAAGGAAGGATAGCAAATAAAATTTTATAGTTATTGAAATATTTTATCATACTTACACTTTTCACAATCAGAAGTGATTATCAGTTATCAATCAAAAGTTTAATATCAAACATCATTTTGCGAGTGCCATAAAAGTATCAAGCATTCAAATTTTAAAAAAAAATTTTTTTTTTTTAAATTATTTTAACTTTTCACCAAATTATTCGAATTATTTTGCTGGAAAAAAAATTCACTATAACTTTACTTTCACAAACATACTTTTTTACGTTATTTTTATTAATAGTATATTCTGGCACAATCGTTAATGTTAATGCTTATTAAAATATAAAAATATTATTAAAAAATAAAAGAAATAAAAATATAATTTGTATAAAATTGAAGACTCATTTTATTTATTTATTTATTTTTTTTTTTTTTTTGGAAAAAGAAAATAATATGAAAACGGAAAAGTAAGCATACTGATAATTTTCTCATCTTTTTCTCGTATAATCATATTTATGTGATATATTTTGCTGGAAATCTTTTTTTGAAAAGAAATTAAAAATTTTTGTTTGATATTCGTTTACTTAATTTTTTTATTCTATTCTTTTCTGTTTTACTTTAACTTTAATTCTACTTTATTCTAATTTCTACTTCTCATTCCCATCTAATTATCATTCATTCAACATTAGAAATTATCATAAAAAATCACAATAATCTATGCTTAATCTATTTCACATATACTAAATATTTGATCGAAATAATTTCAAAATTATCATAAAACATGCAAAATTAGATTGAAGTATAAATTATAAATTCAACCGAATGAATGCATGCAAGACAAGGCGTGTAAATGCACGTTAATGCATGCAAGACAAGGCGTGTAAATGCACGTGAATGCATGCAAGACAAGGCGTGCAAAAAAATTTCAATATAACTAATTGCCCCTATATTATAATTGCTCTCAAAAATCAATATTTTTATTTTAAATTAGCAATTTTAAATGCTAATAAATAATTAATATTTTGATGTGAAATCAAAGTTTCTATCATAAAATTTGTAAATTTTTTGAAAAAAAAAGAATTATAAATAATAAAAATACAAGAAATAGAAAAAATAAAAAAATTTTCCAGACAAATAAGTGTTTTCAATGTTTATTTTTTGATATATTATTGCTTTTTTTCTCAATTTTTTTTTTTTTTTTCACCAACTTTTTTTATTTTCTAAATTGTTTGCATGAAAAAATCTCTGAGGAATTTTAGCCTAAAAAAAATATTTGAGAAAATGATGAAGGGCCAAAAACAGAATGACAATAATACTTATCAATGAGCCATAAAGACTTACATTAGCTAAGTTGCTAATAGACTTCAATCAAGCCTAGAAACTTATTCAGCTTTTCCTACAAACTTTGCTTCTCTCAACTTCTTTTTTTCTTCAAACCAACTCTTCATAAATTGCCATTTATTATTTTCCTTCTTTTTTTTTTTCTTTTTCAAAATATTTCAAAAATTTTTTCTTATTCTTTCATTTTTCCTTTTTTTCTGTTTTCTTCTTTACATTTCAATTTGACTGTTAATTTTTAGTAAACTCTCAGAGAAAAAATGAGAAGAATTACAAATGATATAATTAGTACCAAATGATAATACAATTATCAGTTTTGTTTTTAAACTATGATTATTGTGAAGCGTACGTGTAGTCACGTTATTGATAACAAATAAATTTGTTATTAATGTGATTTTATTAATGATAGAATAAATTATTAATTTCATTTTGAAATTTTTCGTAGAAATTTGCACAATAGGGCGCTTTGCTTAAAATTATTATATATATTTTTTCTTCAAGTCTTTGGTCAAAAAAAGTAAACAAATAAACAGAAAACAAATTTCAGATAAAATATGAATTTTCATAGCAATTATATCGATCAATTAAATTGCATTCTTATAATTTTAATGAATTATTTTTCATTAATGGATTAAAACTGATATGATTACTTCAATTTATCAACAATTTTTTCATAAATCATTAATAATTGCTATATTATCTCTGAATGTTATCACAGTATCAAACAAATTGTTTACTGTAAGTTTTTTCTTAGTATTTTTGTTTGTTAATAATGTTATTATAATGTTGTGATAATTCATACGCTAATATTACTAAGACTTTTTTTTTTTTTTTTTTTGCAAATGCTCAAATTTTAATTAAATATAATTCCAAATTCTAAGCTAATTAAACTTTTGAAAGAAATATATTTAAAAATTTATGATTGTTAATTTTGTAATATTTGAGTTTTTATTTAACAAACAAATAAATAAATTTACTTTTTCAAGCACTAATTATAATTGAAATTTGATTTTGTTGTAAGCAACAATAATATTGAGATATAAAAATTGAAATAATGCTAATAATCACATTTGCTTAGCTATGAGTAAAGCTAATAATTATCGAATTTTTAGCCATCGATAGCCAAATTAGAATATAATAAAATACAGAATCAGTAAGTTTTCTTTTTTTTTTTTTTTTCATATACTCTATAAATTTTCAGAATTTTGCCCATATTTTCGTTAGCTTTTGATGCATTTCAAATATTTATAACTTAGAAAAAAAAAAAAAAAAAATCCTAAAATTTTGTATAAGAGACTTTTTTGATAATTTAATCAGATAATGATATCTGCAAATTTCTCAAAAATTCATTCTCAGAAAATCCAATCTTTCAAATTTATTGGAAGGAACAAAGCTATTTGCAAATATCACTTACGTGACAGATAAAATTCACGTTACTTACTTACGTAAGCGTCCTCTTCTCATCATCAAACAGTTTTTTATTTCTATTTTAATTCAAGAGAACCAATTGCTTCAAATAAGCAGAATCAACAGTCACAACGCCATCTGGAAATGAATGTTAGTCGTCTGCTTGATCAACTGATCGCAAGTCATGATCGCAGAATTAGACCAAATTATGGTCGTTAGTTTTATCATATTATATCATCAGATAAGTAAATATATGAGTAATTCTAATATATCACTTTTTAATTTGACTTTTAAATTTGAAAAAAAAAAAAAAAGTTGAAATTTTTCAAATAGTTTTTTATTTCAGCAAAGTTTAACACTTCATTATTTATCATACGGATTACACTTCTGTTAGTTTAATTAAACAAACTAATAAATATAAAAGAAGCAAATATTAACCATTCGAATTAATCATCGACTACATTAAAAGATTTTAAAAGTAAAAATGCTAACAAATCAATTCACAGATGCATTTTACTCATTTTATAGCATTCAATGAAATTTTCAACAAATTTAATTATTTTTTGAAAAGTAATCATTTAATTATTATTACTTCTATCAAACAAACTTATAAAAATGATTATTTTGAGGAGAACCAATCGAAGTAAATGTTACTATTCATGTTACTACGATAAGTGCTATCTCAGAAGTTTCTATGGTACTATTTCATTGTTAATTTTTATTTTATAATTATTTTAACTTCTCCGATTCTTTTCATCAATTTATTTTCCTTTTATAATTTATTTATTTACTTTTCTTTTTTCCTTTTCGAGATAATATTTTAATTGCATATATCACATTTCCATAGCAAACATTTAATTATTTCATAGTGAAAGAGAAGAGTGATTGACTTTTTTTATTTATTACACTTACATTAATGGCTGATAAAATTTGCTATAAATTTTTAAAGATACTTATTACATCACTAAAATTTTGATAAAAATAAATTATGTAATAATAATTTCTTGAATAATTTTAATTTTTTTTTATAAAAAAATAAAGTTATAAGCAGTCGGCAAAATTTAATTATATAGGAATTTACAGGATTACACTGTTGCATTATATTTACGTCAGTTTTGGCGTGATAATCGTTTAGCATTTAAAAGTGCTAATGAGCAGGAATTAACAATCGGAATTGATTTAATAAAAAGTATTTGGGTTCCGGATACTTTTTTTCCCAATGAAAAGAAATCATTTTTTCATGAAGCCACAACACATAACTCTTTTTTACGTATCGATAATCACGGAAATGTATTCCGTAGTATTAGGTAATACTTATTACTTTCTTTTTTTCTTCCTAATATTTTCTCAAACTTATCATTACATTGATAATAGTGATAAAAGTTAAGAAAAAAAGGATAAGAAGTAAAATGAAAAATTAAAAATTAAAATAATTGCATAAAATAACAGTAATATATTAAATGAAAATTAAACAATTATGAAAATTTTAACAAAAAAAAAAAAAAAAAAAATTTCATTGCAGGCTTACAGTAACAGCTAATTGTCCAATGAATTTACACAGTGTATGTTTAAATTTTTAACTTAAAAAAAAAAATAAATAAAAATAAAATAAAATGAAAAATGTTAAATAATAAAAGAGTGAGAGAAGTATTTGAGAAATTTGTTTAATTTTTTCTTTTCTATATTTTTATTTACGTTTGTATTTTAAAAATTATATTTTACAAAACAAATAAAACTAAATTTTCATAATTTCATTTTCTTTTCTTTTTTTTCCTTTTTTCCCCTCTTTCTCCCAATAATTTAATTAAAACTGACTAATAATATATCTTACAATTAAAAATTAGTTAAAAATTAATGCATCATAAGTTTCTTTTTTCTCTTTCGTATTTCAGTTTCCATTGGATGTTCAAATTTGTGCTCTCGAACTTGAGGTACAATTCTCGATCATCAATCTTTGCTAACAATCAATTCATCAGCTTTTCAACATATATTCTTCTACGCGTACATTTCATAATCGCAAAGTTCTAACTATTTTTCAATTTTTCTTTCTTTTTTTTTTTTTTGCTTTAGTTTATAAAAACGAAAAATAATAGTAATGTGATAGTAAATTTAAATTTTAAAATTTGTTACAAATTTTGATTTCAATTTCATTTTTATATCTTTCTTTTATTTTTAGTTCAATTTTAAAAATCAAAAATTAAAAAATTAAATAAATCTTTTTCATTTTTTGAAAAAAATTTCCAATACTTTTCGGAGTTTGGAGTTTGTTTCTAACAATAAATATTTGCACACCGCAAAAATTCAACAAACTTAAAAAACAAAAAAATTAGTGTAAAAAATGTTTAGAATAATATTTTTTTCTTGAAAAGTAAGTAAAAATTGATAAATCAAATAACCAATATTTTTATTCATGCGAGGCCTTTCTTAATTAGTTGAATGTTAGTCATTTTTTTTAAGTAATTTAAATGTAAAACGTTTTAATAAATTTTTTTATTTTTTATATTTTTATATTTTTAATATTTTTTAATTTTATATTTTTTATGTTTATATTTTTAATAAATTTTTTTAAATAAATGTAAAATGTTTTAATAAATTTTTCAAATATCGTTAGAAATGGAAGATAGAATACTTTGGTTCACCAAGAACTTAGACCCTATTAAAAAGTCTAATCCATATCATCGTGATTTAAAAGTTAACTGTCCCTTATCATCGAGACTTTTCGTCTAATTGCATGAAATATTATCCGTTTGCTATCATCGGTTAGAATCACTTTTATCCTTTTCAATTTTTCTATTTATTTTTAGTTTAATCCTTTCTTATTTATTTCAGTTTCTATTCATTTTTTCAAATTTACTATTTGTTTAGAGATAATATCAATGTCATCCATTTAAGAAAGATTACATTAGTCTTACTTAACTATGCTTTCACTTCATTATACTTAAATAATAGCTCTCTTCGCTAATTTGTGATAATAAAATTCGTCAACTTGCATTTTACTACAATTTTACATTGCTTAAACAAATCTAACATTCAAAATAGAAAGTTTTTCGAATTTTTAATTCAACTCGAACACTGTTACTACCAAATGACAATTCCTTAGTACTGGCAGTATTGGTATGCTTTGTTTATTCATTTTCGGTTTCTGTTTATTTTTTCATACTTATGATTTACAGAGTTATGCATACAGCACCCGCGACATCATATATCATTGGCATTTGGGTGAGAATTCGGTGACAATCGATGAGAATGTACATTTAGCTCATTTTACAATTGGTGACCACAGACATGTCGAACGGGTCATTTCGCTTAGTACAGGTGTTCATTTGCTTTAATTCATTTAAAACATTTATTCCAATGATTTTTTTTTTTTTTTTTTTTTACTAATTAGTCGATTATCCATATGTGAAGTTCAAAAATTACTCTCCTTAGTAACTAGCCACCATAGCTTACAAGCTATAAGTAATAAGTTTGAAAAATAAAATTGTAATTTACACAAAAAAAAAAAAAAGTGAAAAAATTGTAATTCAATTGAGTAAGATTAATTATTTGAAGAATTTATTAAATGATAATGAAAATGAAATAGGGTAGAGCATCTTTTTGATTTCTGTTTATTAGGTATTTTTGTATTAAGGAAACTATTCACGACTTTCTACTTATTTTACATTTAAACGAAATATTGGCTTCTATCTGATACAAATATATTTTCCCTCTTCATTAATTGTTGTCATTTCTTGGATATCATTCTGGCTAAATCGTGATGCTACTCAAGCCCGAGTTGCTATAGGTAATAAAATTTTAATTGTATGTTTAAATTTTGTTGCTACATTTCTTGAAAAAAAAAAAAAGTTTACGAAAAATTCATAAATATGTAAGATGTAAAACAAATTTAACATTTAGCGCATATAAATAAATTATAGAATGAACTTATTCAAAGATAATCTATCGATTTTTCTAATAACTTTTTAATAGATCAGAAATCACTCAATTTATCAAGTAATACTTAATTACCATAAATCATTTCGAAGCAGTTTCTCAAACAAATCTTTGTCATCTCATTAAAAAAAAAAAAAATTTACAGGTGTCACCACAGTACTAACAATGACAACATTGATGACCTCAACAAATGCCTCATTACCAAAGGTGTCATATAATCATTCAAGAAATTATTTGAAGCTAAAATTATCATTCTTCTTTAAATAATTGCACAAATTCAAAATCAAAAATTTTTTTCTGATATTAGAAAAATATAATTAGATTATATGACCGTTCGTCATAAAGTTATCTGACACGAATTATGATATTTGCAATATATCCGGTTTACCGGAAACAAGAAAACAAGCTGATCAATAGCTCAGCAAAGAAGATCAATAGTTCATTTCAGGTATCATACGTCAAAAGTCTTGATATTTTTCTTGGAACTTGTTATTTCATTGGTAAGTTTGCACAATAACTAGATTTTAGGAATATTTTAAAAACTGAACAGTCTTCATTTTCCGATTTCGATGTTTTATTTTTAATTGATTTAATTTTTTGATAGCAGTAAGTTATGTTCATGTTCAAATTTTTCATCTATTTTATCCTTTTGTTAATTACTAGAATTTTCTAACTGCCAGAAATCAATCAATCAATAAGTTTATCCTTTCGAATGCTTATTTTGCTGACAATAATACTGAAAGTAAATTGTTTTCTTGCAGTTTTTGCATCATTACTAGAGTATGCAACGATAGGTTATCTAATGGAACGATATCGAAACTCTCTGGTGGACAATAGAGCAACCGCAACAACTTGCTTTTATGAATTAACCGAAAATTCACCAATCATACAAAGAATTCGAGCAATGGAACTTAGAAATTACACTTTCAATAATGAGGTTACCAATTTTAATTTCAAGAGCGCAAATGTCACATTTCAAATAAATAACTCAAGGAAAAAGCATTCGTTTTTTTTTACAACAAATTTTTTGAATATTTCCAAAATTATTCCATAACCCATTTGTAATTTAATACTTTATGAAAAGAAGAAAAAAAATCTTTTCGGAATTTCTGCGACTATCACATTTTGTTGTAGTCTGAAAATGATTTCGAAGTACCATTATTGATAAGAAGATCAAAGAATCAATTTCGCTTGAGGTCAGCTATGATCAGAATGTCAGCTAATAAATGTTTATGTAGTTGTCTGAGGATACGACCATCACAGGTTCGTCATTTGATTGAATAATTTGAGCCAAAAAATTAAAGTAAGCATGGTGATAGCAAAATAAATGTAAGAAAAGCAAAGGTCAATTTAAGGTCAAATATGAGTGATATGCTGATTGCATTAGTCACAAAGGATTCTAAAAGTAATTTTAAAAATTATCATTTTTCAATGAGTTCTCACTTTGGAACAGAGTTATAATTTCAATTTCAGGTTGATCTCATATCGAGAATTCTATTTCCGACATTTTTCGTTGCTTTTCACATTGTTTATTGGACAGTTTATCTATATTTTTGACATTGTTTTTGATATCAACTATAATGTAATTTATCAAAATTGTCCGATAAATAAAAAATTAATTCTTCATTAATTTTTTGTCAAATAAGAGTCAAATAAAGTTAAATAAAGGTCACAGAACAAATGCAGAACGATACAAAAGCGTTGTCAATGACATCCAACTTATATTCTTCAAAGCTCACAGATTACCTTACCTACCTATTGTACATTACTTTACTTTAATCTGAGAGTCACAACAGTGTTATCACTTTCTTTCCCTTTCTCTCTCTCTTTCTCTGCGTTGCCATTACCGCCTAGCGTACTCATCCTGCACAACAAACAAAAACGTTAAGAAATAAGTAATTGGTATCTAACAAAATATGTAATATTTTTGCAATTATCGCGAAATAAATGTTTGATTGATAGTAAGAGTAACCGAAGTCGTTCGGTTAATTTGTAAAATTTTTCAAATTACTTTAGAAGCATTTGCAGAAGTTCAACAGCGCTTCCAATTGAAGCCTTTTTCGTAGAATTATCATCAAGTAATTTAATAAAAATTATAAATGGAGTAAAATGGAATTGAATTTAAGTAAAATTTTTCAAAAATCAATCATATCAATTTTGTCTAGTAAAATTATATCTTATGTGTTAATTTTTTTAATATTTAAGAATAAGTAATTAAATTATTTGCGTAATAGTTCTATTATTAAATATTTGTGCAAAGGATATTTTTTGAACATTTCGAATTATTTTCAAAAATTACTGATTTTAGTTACTTCATCATACATTACATTTATTATCATGCCATTGATAGCTTAATTTTAATTGACTTAATTTTTAAAGTGATATAATATAAAGAAAATTGGGTAGAAAGCTGAAATTAGCTTCATTAATTTCTCTACGAAGATTTCACGAAGTTTCATCATTTTCCTAGACATTATATATGAGATTTTTTATAAAATTGCAACATTTACCAAACTATCATAGTTTTACATTTATTAGAAAGTATCCTTCGAGGAAATTGTCAATATTTGAAAATTATTTCCAATGCTTATTCGTTGTGTATACGGTTGAACATTATGAAAAATTTTTTATTTCCGCTAAAACTTTAAAATTTTTATATTCTCTCCAAGAAATTTTAGGGAAGTAAGCTGAACATTTCTAAAGAAACATCTTTTTTGAATTCCTTCTTTTTTTTTTTTTTCACTGAACTAATTGTTTTAGAGAAATTTTTTAAATCTTACAAATTTATTGGCTGATTTACGGGTTTAAACATTCTAACTGATTTCTGTTTTTTATTAATTGATAAGATGATAATAATATTATCAAATCCTACTCCTCCATTTATAAAAGACCAACTAATCTATGACACATCTACTACTTCTACAGCTCATCCGCCCTGTCCAATGGTCAACGGTCAAAAGTTCAACTGGCCGTACCACTAAATCTTATCACCAACGCAGAAATGACCCAATAGTATTTTTCGTTTCTCGGTGTTATTTTTGCTATTTGTTTGTTTTGAATGAATTTTTTGATTGGTGCTTAAAGGTTTTATATATGTTGCAACAGTTCATGCTTAATTTGAATTTGAACTTAAATTTTAGATTTTGAAAAAATGTCGCAGCAACAGTGTGTTTCACCTCATCAACATCTTTACAAAAAGAAAAGTGTAGATTGGAAAAGTGAATTGCGAAAGGTTTGCAAATAGTATTTATGTATTTGTGTAATTAATAAATTACATTTGACCACTTTTTATTGACTTGAGAAGATTATAGAACTGATATGTTTAAATGTTTGAAATTTTGATGAAAACAATTGCATTAGGGGAAAAAAAGCTTAGCAGTAGATTAGGAAACAAGTAATATCCTGAGGAAATTATTCATTTTGGATAAATAATAACACATAATTACTGTCGTGATGATGTTGGATTTGTTGTTTTTTTTTTCTTTTTTGCAATTTTGCATGCATTTAAAACTTTCAGAAGTTTATTCGACGACTCCGAGATGAACGAGAGAAAATTTTTAATCGTGCACGTGGTGGGTTTGAATGTTGGCAGACTGATTTGTTCATTGAAAGCATAATACAGGATGAAGTTGATGCTTTAAGATTATCAGAGCATATCACGGAGAATGAACTGAATGAAGCTATTCAAGAATTTGAACGATTTCGAGACGAAACGACTCAACAAGGTTTTTTTCTCATCTTATCACTGAGTATTGTTATAAGTCTATTTCATGAATATGATTGTATCGGATTGTCAGAATTTTATACATTTCAGCAGCAATTTTCAGAAATAGAAAGCATGATTGCTTATGAACAAGAACGACTGGAAGATTTGGCAAGTGGGTACAATGCTGTCTTGTGTCCAAGATGTCAGGTATGATTCCAATAGAGATTAGTCTTTGCTTTAGTTTTATGGTCTAAATCATATGGGCTGGCAATCTAAAGAAGTTTTGACAGGCAGTGCTTGGAGTTTCCTTTTAATTATTCTTTTCTCTTGTTTGTTCTCTCTATTTATAATCAGTCTTTATAAATTCCATTTGAGTTGAAGTAAGCTTGCATTTGATTTGTAGAATTCTCCTGTCATAGTATTACTAGAATCTGGAGGTCATATTATCAGAAATGACATTAAGAGTCATCGGTCATAATTTTTCTCCATTTTATAGATTTATTATTTTCAGCTTTATTGAAACTTAACTCCATTTTAAAAGATTTCATATTAAGTGTTTTCTTTTTTATTTCAGTTTGCCAGTCTGAGTTTTCCGGATGAATATTCACTGATATGTGAGCATTGTAAACTGCAGTTGCGTTTGACGCAACCATTACCATCTCCTCTTGAATTAACAACTCATTTTACAAATATTTTCACTTCTCATGCTGATCGAGGATGTTCAGAAACTCCTAGTTTAATATTGCAAGGTGTCGATAAATTATTTCTTCGTTGTAATTGGTGTGCATTTAATTATGAGGTATTTTAGCTTCAGATATTTTGCTCTTGTTCAAAAGTGTAATGTAATTGTATAATTGTTGTATTTAATGATATTAAATATAAGAATTTTATAATTCATATTTGTAATTATCATTTCTTTATGTTAAAAAAGAGCCAGTGAATATCAGTAATTTCTTTTTGTATCCTGTAGTCGACAGCTAAAAATGTTTTGTTTATAATAATAAAAGTTTTATTTGATCAATATGCATAACATTTCGTTCAACTACAAATCAACAATTTAGATTTCTTTCAAAATGACGAAGTGTCAAATTTGTTATTTTTAAAATATGACAAATTACAATGGAAAAGACAGACGCTTGGAAAAGATTTTTAAATATATGACTTTTATTGGTTGTTGCAATTGATCTTCTAGCATTAGCATCGACACATGGTGAGAGTAGTAGTAGAACGTGAAATAATCGCATCACTTGACAAATGATTATCAACAAATAAAAACTAGAATCGGGCAATTACTTTTTATGGTTGAATCTATAAAGTTTGAGAAAGGGCAGTTTACTACTTTTATGAAACAGTTGTTAATCTAGCTTGCAATCACGTGAACAGATAAGGGATGTATATGTCATCATGTCGCAGTGTAACATCAAAGGAATAGAAGCCGCTAATAATGAGATTTGAAGGAGCAAAATCCTTTCGTATATGTCACACATTTTTTTTTGCAACTTCTCTTCATCGATATTTCTTTTATTGGATTAAATCAATGATATCTCTGTTATCATTGATGTCAAATAAACTATCAAAGTTGGCTGTATTTGAATTTCAATTTTACAAAACTTCAAATGCAACTTATTTAACTCATGTGATCAACTAATTAGTGATGCAAGAGACATCATGTCTATGTCTATCTTATCAGATGTACTCATTGAGGGAAGAATATGGATGAAATAGTGAGGTACAGTTAATCTGGTCTGGTCAGGTCAGCAGAAATTCAGAGATTAGAAGTAAATTCCATCAGCTGACATATTACACTAAATTTTGTTGCATCTTTACATCTCTCTCTCTCTCTCTCTCTCTCTCTCAATATACCACCATTCAAAATATATCTCTTTTAATTTTTTTTCCTCTTAATAATTGGAACTGTTAATTAAAAAATTAAATTTTAATTAATATAGCAATGGGAAGAAAAAAATAGAAATTCTTGTTATTACTAATAAAACATAATGAATATACACTACATGAAAATAAATTACAGATTAATTCTAAAATTTTTTGATTCATTTTTATATGCCTTTAGAAATATGTAAAATTGTGAAAATGCAAGAAGAGACTAATTCATTAGTGATATTGCATTACATCAGTCAATCATCTCACAAAATGCCACTTGTTAAAACAGTTGTTGCTCAGCCTGTAATAAGAAATATCTTTCATTAAATCAAAATTTAAAAAAAAATCTAATTTTAAATTCAAAATTTATTATTACTTAAAGGTGACAATTGTTTACAAATAATAATCAAATTAAATTCACACAATTATTCATTCGATTTGATCAATTTATATTGTTTATAGTTTATTGGTACCAATCCAATCCATCTTCTCTCTCCCACTTCTCTTTCCCTCTCTCTCTTCTTACCTCCCTTGTATGAATGTGTGAGGATTACAAATGGCAGATGATTATTAAAGTTTTGACTTTAGTTTATGCCAAATTTCGATTATTTACTTCTCATTGGTGCAGAGTGAAAAGCCAGATGTGTCAAATAATATGCAAAACAAGTAATATTTTATTATTTTCAAAGTTGAAATTATGAAAAATTTTTAATTAAAGAAGGAAAAAGTGAAAAAAAATTAAAAACAAAACAAAAAAATATGAAAATTGCATAACTTTCAAAAATTGATTCCTTCAAGAATATTTTGAATATTAAAATGTGCTATCTAAGAGAGATTATTGAAGAAATTAGCTTTAGTACCTACCAATTATATCAACAATGCAATGAATATTTGATAGCACTAATTAACATTTATTTTCACTATAACATCAAATTCAGATATAATAAAATTGTTAAATTATTATTGTAAATGATATTATCATTGATATTAAAAAGAAAAAAATTTTTCATATTTTTGATTGTTTATAATTTCATTTCTTTTCATTCAAAAAATTATTAAATTAAAACAAATGTGATAAAAATTTTTCAATTCTTTATTTTCTTACATTGTGTAAAATTTTTTAATTTAAAATTAAAAGATAAAATTCTTGTTTGTTGCAAACTATAGTTCAAATAGCTCATTGATATCTGATACTAAAGATAATAAAATGATTTAGCATTGTGTAGAAATTATCTTACGTAGTGTAAATATTTCATATGACAAGAAATGAAGTGACGGAAAAATAGTGTGATAATTGATGATAGAAGAAGATAACGTATCATTCCTCAATGATTTTCATTAAATTACAGCTCCTCCCTCGAATTCTCCAACTTATTTCATATCAACCCCAAAAGTCCAACCCATTTTATATTCCTCAATTCGGATTATATTCAAGTTACAGAGACTACTTAAGGATTGTCAATTAACCATTACATCTCTCTTTCTGGTTCTCATTTGAATATCAATGGCATCAGCACCAGATACTTTTTCTACCAATGGTACCAATGGTATCCTCAATGGTACAAATATCAATGTTTCACCAACTACTATCACTAACTCTCTTCATAAACATCAGAAATGGTTAATTGATAAAAAGCGACACATCATAAATGTATTACTAATTACTGCTTTATTACTCATTTTATTTGGTATATTTATGGTCTTTGGTCGTCACAACAAAAATGTACCTTCAAAAGTATCAGTTGGAAATGAAAGTAGAAGTGATAAGTATTCCAATATTTCATCTTTACAACAAATTGGATATGATAAACAATCATTACAAACGGTAAATTTTGATGTTTACCTTGATAATTTTTTTTTTTTTTTTTATGAAAAAGCATTTTGTAAGCATTTTGTGTTCGCAAAAAATTTTGTAATTTTCATTTTTTCAATTTAATGAAATTATCCTTTATTCCTAATTACCATTCTTCTAGTGTTCTCTTTTTTATAAATCAATTTGTTTTCTTGCAGAATTCTGATTTTACATCTATGCCAACTACTACTAGCAGACAAAATTTTGATATATCACAATGTGTTACATTGATCGAAAGCAAGAAATGTCTTCAAATTCAGCGTAAAAATTTTCAAAAGTATGCAAATCTCTCAAATTTCAAAAAAATTTTTTCTTTATTATTACTGATTATCATTATTGAACTTTTGCGCCTATAATCATTGCTGTAATGTTTTTGATTAAGCATTTTTAATTGGTATCAGTATCCATAAATTTTGATTTTTTCCCTTTTTTTTAAAAAAAAAAATTGATAGTGCTAAAAAAGAGATAAGATAAGCTTTTCTTTTTTTTTTGGAGAAAAAGTATTAATTTACTTTTGAGGAAGGTAAAGTAGTCATTTACTTACAATATCATATGAATTACTTAGCAATCAATTTTCTGCAGTAAGAGAACAATTCATATTTTCTGTTGAAATAAGTCACACATCTAAATGAAAATGTGAAAATGAGCAATGTGTGCGCTTCTGTCTCAAAATTAATTAATCAAATGGATGACACTTCGAGAAATATTATTAAATGAAATTTGCGAGAATTATTAGACAGTCATATGAGATAATTAATACTTATTCTATCAATGAGCAAATGATTAGTCAATTACATATTACATTGCCTTGAAATTTGCTTAGACCGATTGATCTTTCATTTATGAATTCTAAATGTTTGTTCAAATGAATTAAAATTTTGCTTAGCATTAAAAGAAAAGAAAATGATTAGAGTATAATCATTTTTTTTTTTGCTGATACGATAGAAGTTTTTAGAAAGCATGATATTAAATTAAATTTAAATTAAATTGATGAAAAACTTTCAAACATTATTTGTTACTTTCAACATTATTCTGTCATTTTATCGTTACTTTTTTTTCAAATATTATTTGTTTGCTAACTTTTCAACAATTATTGAAATTTTTACGAAAAATATAACAACTGATTATAACTTATTTCATTCTATGTTTAGTAGTAATAATGATAATAATAATAATAGTAATAATAATAATAATAATAATAATAATAATAATAAATTGTTCAAAAAAATTTGGTCAAAATAAAAGTTTTTTTTTTTTTCTTTACAGTGACGGGAATATACCATCAGAAGATTTTGTGTCACAATTGGGACATTTCATGGGATGGCATCCGAAACATTATGAACTTAATATAACCATCAATCGAGATGCACGGACATCTTTTGCAGGAAATGTTACTATTTATGTAAGTTTCTATCCTTCAATTTCAATTATTGAAGTAAATAAATTTAAAATTAAAACAATTAGAAAATTTAACAACTGAAATATTCGTAGTAAAATTTTTATTTTAGTTTCAAAGATGATTCACTTAACAGTGTAAAGTGGAAAGAAAGAATTTTTGAATAATGAATGGATAATTAGTTAGGCATATTTAATGTAAATTTATATTCAACAATAAAACTTAATGATCTCTATTATATAATATAATTTGTTCAAGTAACTTCCGTTGAGAATTTATTTTAAATGAAGGAAGAAGAGATTAAAATTTAAACAAAATATTTTAGATTAAAGCTATTGAAACAACTTCATCAATATCACTTCATGTTGGCCGATCTATCTCTGATATCGCTTTATCACAAATAACAGCATATAATTGTCGTACAGGTGAATTAAGAATTAAAAATAATTCTACTTTAACAAGGATTTCTCTTTTGAACAAAAATTAAATTCTGGATGTTTAATTTATAGAATTTTAAAAATTTTAGGAGAGCTTTTATGTCTCACATCAATAGTTTATCATCAAAAAGATGAAGTATTATCAGTGGAACTTGCTGAACCTATTGGTGTTGGACATATTGTCGTTCTTCAAATTAAAAATTTTTCTAGTTCACAGGCTTCTACTGGTCTCATTGTCAAAAGGCCACAAAAATGGGAACCTAAACGGTAAATTTATTTCTCTTTTTATTAATTAATTGTTGTTAAAGTTGAAAGTTTTAAAAAATGTTGAAAAATTTTGTAGAAGTAGAAAATGTTTGGAATTCGAATGCTCGAAATGTTATTTAATTAGCAAATTTATGAAATTTTTTTTTTTTTTTTTTTTTTGGTGCTTTGGAATTTGCTTTATTTTAAGGCCATGGACAGTTACTACATTTTTCCAACTTCGGAATGCTCGTTCAGTTTTTCCGTGTTTCGATTTACCGATTATGAAAGCAACGATGAAAATGTGTATCAGTCATCCAATGAGAACTGAAGCACGGTATTTCTTTGGAATAAAAATGCTAAATTTTCAGCAAAATTTTCACTTATCTGTAAAATATATCTGTTTAGAAAAAAAAAAAATTTCAGACAAATCTAAAAATATTAATTTATTTTTTTTTTAGATCAAATACAAAAGCATTTTCAATTTCTAAAATGAATAATCGGATGGAATCATGCTTTGAATCGACACCAGCAATGAGTACTTACTTATATGCATTTACAATATTTGATCGAATGAGTTCAATGCGAGAGGCAGAAAATTCACAAGAATATTTACCTGAAATTGAAGTAATCTATTCTGAAGAAGATAATGTTGTCAAACCTGATTGGATTAGCACTGAAACAAGACATGTATGCAAGTTTTTTCTCTCTTTTTTTTTTGATAGCAAATATAAAATTATTAAAATTTTGAATTAAACATTAATTTATACTTTAATATTTTTGGATTAATAGAATAAATTACTTAATAAAAAATAATACTTTTTTTTTCTTTATTTTAGGCGCTAAAAGTAATGGCAAATATTAGCAATTTTCGATATCCATTAAATAAGCTCAATTTGATGGCATCATTTTTACCCGTTTATGGACTTGAAAATTTGGGTTTAATCATATTGGATGAACGATTTGTAGCTTATCCAAAATATCGCTTAGCTCATACTATTCTTGCCCATGAAATTGCCCAACAATGGATTGGCAATATTGTCACGGTTAAAAATTGGAAAGAAATATGCTTGCAGGTTAATTTATTCTTTTCACTTAATTTTTATTTTCTTAGCTAAGAATTCCAATATAAAATATTAAAAACAAAAATTTTTAATTTGAAATAAGATCTGAAATTTTGTGATGTAACATTTTTTGAATGGAAAAGTTAAAATTCGAATTGAGTAGGAAATTCGAAATTCTTATCTCAATAAACGAATAATAGGATGATTTGATGATAATTGGCATTTTGACCATTCCTTGGTGAAAAATTTTGGCATTTGCGCCATTTATCAGTACATACAATTTATTATTGATTACAGGTTATTAATTTATCTATTATTTATTATAAATTCTATTTATTATTACTTAAAATCATCTATGTTAATATAATATTTGCTTCTTTATTCATTTAAAAATTATTTCTTTATTTTTACCAAAAAGCTAAATTTTTAAGATTAAAATTTTAAGATTTTAGGCTAATTTTTAATCTGAAATGAAATGATTCATTCGAAATTATCTAACAATTAATTCATTTCTTTTTTTCTATCCTTCCAAAGATTTATTATGCGAAAATATTTGACTCTATTTTATTAAATGAAGTTCTTTTTTTGAGTTATAAACATAACTTAGCTATTTATTTATATCTGTTTTGGTAATTTTATCAATAAATTTGAGTGACTTTTTTTTTTGAGGCATAATGTTATAATTGATTATATTAGCTTATATCAGCTGATCACTAATGAATGATAGATTAAAGCAGGTACGTCTATCAATCATTAAAAAAGGTGTTGATAATAGGGTGACCTTTGTTGAAATAAGGAATAGAATGACCTTTGTTTGAATACATCATCAAGGCATTCATAAAAATAGAGAGATTTAATGAAAGTAGAGGAGTCATTTGTTTCAAGATTTACTTTTAGAAGATGCCGAACTGATGGAAACAGCTGTTTTAAGTGATAAATTACTACAATACAGGAAAATGATATTTACTTGATTGAACATTGTATCAAAAGGTTAATGAAGAGATGGTAGAATGATGGAAATTCATTTATTGAACTTTTCTTTTCTTAGTGACTATTAGTTTCTCAATAAAATATTTGATTAAATCAGTATTGAACATATTGAAATGAATTTAATAAGCAAAATGAAAATTTATGAAATTTCTCTACAAAATGTACTGTGTTGATAGATTAGCATGCACATTACTTATGATTTAAAACTTTAATACAATCTTCTTTCATGTGTCTCTTTAGATACTGCTAAATTTGAAAAATTAAAATTGGAATTATTACAATCTAAACATATAACCCATTATGAAACTGCTCTAGAAAATTTCTCCATTAAATATTTAATTAAAATCCCTTTAAATTTCACAATGTTTAAAAATTATTGCTATATAACATTTTATCTTCTCGAATAATTTAAAAAATAAGTGCTAATTTGATTTCGTAAATAATTTTAAGCCTGAATTATGAAATTAACAAAATTTTAGCTAAAAAAAAATTCTAAGTTATGCTTTGTTGTATTTTGTTGTGCAATATTTATTAAAACTTTTATTTTAAATTTTGAATAAAATAAAATTGCTAAAATTGAAAATATTAAATTTATTTACTTATTATTGTCGATTTAAAAATTTCTTATATATTAAGCATATGTTATTTTGAATAATTTATTCTGGAAAAAATTTTATATTTGAAAAAAAAAATATAAGTAAAATTTGGAAATAACATTAATTAATTCATTCTCAAAATTAGTTTCTGTTAAAAAGTCTTATAGCTCAGAATAGTTTCATTTATGGGAAGGAAAAAATTTCCAGAAAGTTTGAGGAAAAAATGCTAATACCTGAAATATCATATTACCCATAACTATTCCTAATCACTTCGCAACTGTGCTAGCACCTGCATTTGACCTTCCATCTCGATTCTTCTTTACATTTGACCTTTCATCCCGATCTTTCCCTTTCAGTTCTTCAATTCCTCTCCCAGAAACCAGATGCGCAGCAGGGGTTACAGCAACAGTCGCAGTTTACTAAAATAAGTTAACGGGGAAGAAATGGATTATTTTACTTTTTTTTCCATTTGCATAAAGATAGAAACGATTAGTAAATAAATGGATTAGTAAATAAGTAATGAAGTTCAAGTTTAAATTTTAATATTGAAAAATTAAAATTTTTCACGAAAATTTTCCCTTTCTCATAAAATTTTAATTTAAGTTTTTGGATTTAAAAAAAGCAAGAACTCATTTTCATTTCTGTCATTTAACTTTTTATTCAATATTTTACATATTTCCCTCACTTACAATTTCATGTCACAAATGATGATGCGGAATTTTTAAAACAGATTAAATTAAAGCCAAGCATTCTAAAATTATATTTCAGGAAGGATTAAGTACCTATTTGGAATGGTTGATCACAAAATCGTTGGATAATTCAACCGAAATTGATGAATTAATTAGTGAAAAACGTCGTGAAGGTATTATGAAAGATAGTACAACCTCTACAGTTATCGTTTCTGAATTTCGTTCATCTGAGGATGTATGCATAATTTATTTATTATTTGTTTCTAATCTAGTTCACCTTTATTTGATAGGTTCATTACCTGCTAATTAGTAATTATTTACTAACCTATAAATATACTTTTCATTTTCTTCAGATAGTTTTTGATAATTTATTTCCTATTTTTTTTTTCTTTTAATTTTCACATCTTTTTTTATCAACAATTTTGCTTAAAAATATTTGACATGATGAAAGGATGAACTTTTGAAGATTTCACGATGCTTTGATAAGCCAGCAACATTCTTTATGATGCTTGAACTTGGATTTGGACAAGGAACAGTGGCGCAAATGGTTAAGTAAGTGATCATTAAAGTTGCATCATTACAGAATAGAGAGAAAGAACAAAAGTGAAAAATTAGAAAAGATGTATTGTTAAATTTGTCAAAAAGTAAATAGTACATATCATTAAATAGAGGTTAGCTTTAAGTAATACATATCATTAAATAAAAGTAATTTATATAATTTTCTACAATTTCTTTTATCCACTAGAATTAATATTTTTGAAATATCTATTCTCGAAATGTTTTTCACGGTTGTTAACCAAATATCACCAAGAAAGTTTCGAATTATTTCTAAAATTTCTGATTACTTTTGATTAATTATAGGTTACTCATGCAACGTTACTCTTATGCTAATGCTGGAATGCTAGAATGGCGACAAGTAATCCAAGAAGCTGCTAATAATGTCCTTGCTGGTTCCTTTTCCTTTCTATTACTATTTTATTCTTATACCTGTTTATTGATTTATTAATTTGAAACTGAAATTCAGGTGAATTTTTCGAGCAATATTTCACACAACCTGGTTTACCGCTTATTTATGTTTCTCCTACTGCAAACGGATTGAAATTGACACAAAGTGTAACAATTATGAAACAAGTGACAAACGTATGTTTTGTTTATCACAGAAGAGTTTTTTGATATTATCACTGATTTAACAAATTTTATTGGAAAGGCAGTAATGATGTCAAGAAGGACATCAAAAAAATATATATATTATTGTTGTTGCTAAAAATTATAATTTTGAGAGCTCTAAAGTAAGTAATTTTAGACATTAAATTTATTCAAAATCCATAATTTTGTTAAATATAATGAGAAAATGAAGTTATTGAGTGTTTTCTCGAAGTGAAATACTCAATTTTTTGTGAAGCATCAGAATCTTTAACAATTTCAGACATCACTAGCTATTATACCATTGGATATAGCAATTATTGATGTACCCGATCGAACAGTGATTATTTTAAGCAATCAAACAGAAATGATTTCGTTGAAACATAATGGACTGATGGTACTTGACCCAGATAGACGTACGCATGCCATAATTGTTTATGAAGTAAGTTAAAGTTTACTAACTTGTTTAACTTATATCTAAAATTATAGTAAAATTAAAAGGCGATAGATTGTAAATATTTCAAAAATTAAGATGATAAAGATGATTGAAAAATTAGGACTTTCTTTCTATATGTAAAATAATTTACCCAATATTTAGGGGTAGAACTTTCTTTCTATATGTAAAATAATTTTCCTAAATTTAGGGGAAAAACATTTTAGTAGTAATTGTGTTTAAAAAAAAAAAAAAATTCTTTTCCTCCTTCTTTTATTTGATCTTTTGATACATTTATCGTTGGGAAATGATCAGTATTGATACATTCAATTAACTGAATAAATTATTTGCAGAAATTTTAAAATTAGAGTTTTTTTTTTTTTTTCTGAAAAAAGAAAAAAATCTAAATTTAGAAAATTTCACATTTTCAGCCCGAGATTTACCTACGTTTTGCACAATGTGCTGAACTAACATCATGTTCAGCATTTTTAAAACCAGAAACGATGAAACGTATTTCGGATGATTTTTGTTGGGCATTTTTGGGTAATCATTTTACAATACCTGAAAATATGCCTCAAAAAGCTCAAATTTGGATGCAATTTATGCAAATTTTATCGGAAACAAAATTTGTACACGGATCTTGTGCATGCTGTATGAATAAGAATTTAGAAAAATCTGGAGCAATAAGGTGTAGTTGGCATTGGAATGATGTATGTGAGGAGCTTAGCTTACTCAAACAAATTCAACATTTTACATAATTGCAATATTTTATCACTCAAATAATTTTGATTTTCTTTTTTTTTTTTTCTCTTCAAAAAATTTTCAACGCACTCAAATCTGAAATTTAAATCCATTTTGTACAATACTTGCTGCTTCTATACTGCAATTCAATACAAATTCAGAAATTCTTTTTTAGTATAGGTATCAGGTATATTAAAGGTAGCATAGAAAACTATTCAGTGTTAACTTTTATACATCACATCTGTATATATGTGACAACAGTGAAGCAGCAGTCACCAATTTATTCTAAATCTGCTTGTTTGACTTTAGCCGGTAACTACTAATTGTACTGTTTCCTCGCATTGTTTTCATTTTTGGGAAAAATAATTCTGTATCTGACACAATCGAATCACTGCCATTTCCTTGCTTTAAAAAGAAAAGCCAGGTGAAATTTCATGGAAATTTAGAAATCTCATAGAATAATGATATTTCAATTTTGGTTCACCGTACGTAAGCAAATCATTTATCAACTAATACGAGAATTTATCTACGTAACAAAGAAAACATTTGTCCACGTCGTTTCTTGTGAATGTTTTTTTTTATATGCACAACGATCTCCGATCTCAATTGAATTAGCATGGAGATACATATTTGGTTACTTATTTTTGTTATCGTTTAACAGCTTTCTTTTTTTTTTAATGTTTACCTGGTCACGATGATAGTCTTATTAATCATTTTTCAAATATTTTCTGATCTCTAATCTTGATCCAAAAGATCTACCTTGCATGGAAATTTATATTAATAAGTTCGCCAATTAATATCAAGTCGAAGTTTTTTGATAGTTTCAATCAAATATTCCTACTCCTTTCAACTCATATCTCAAAAAACACGAGAGAAATGATTGCGTGACCAACTAATACTTTCCCGGAATTATATTTAGAAAGGTTATTCTGAAATTTCGAGAAGGCAGATTTTTTGGATTTTCATATTCTGTGCAGAAGTTACACATATAAGATTTGATTATGTAAAAATCAAAATAAAGATTCCCTATGATAATCACATTTCACATGCAAACAATTATAAACTGTATGAATTCCATGTTGAATTTATTTACACAAACTATTTACAATGTAGCTGGTAAAATAAATCTTGAAAAAAATTAACACAAAGTGGTCCCTTGAAAAAAAAGAAAATAAGAAAGGTACGAAACTGAACAAATAACATATAAAAGTATTGTAAATCAGAGCACTTTTATAGAAATCTAAACAGAAGCAATAACATTAAACAAATCACTTAATAAGTGCAGAGTAATACAGAGATTTATTTTGAACTTAGCGAATATAGAAATATTATAATTGTCCTCAGTATATCCCCTGAAGGTGGCACACTCATAAGCTAAATATAGGTCTTAATTCGAAATATGTACTTGAAATAAGTATTCTCGAAAGTATCTAAGACTTAATTTAAAGAGCAAAAATCAATCTTTCAGCATTGTATTTAGTTTCAGACTCATATCTCCGGGCTTTTATAATATTGCTTATAAAATTAAGGAAAAAATCTATATATCCAATAATCAAGCAAAAAGACTTAATGATTTTGGTTCAGTAGATGACTCTGCTCCTAATTAAAATCCAAGATGACAAATATCTTCACAAAATATCAACCTTCAAAAACATAATCATAATAAATAGATAGCATTAGATAACGAAGTTCTGAATAGAACTATCTCTCAGCAGCACCATCCTTCACCACCAGTTTCTGCAGTAGCATCGCCAGCTTTCAGTAACAATCTTTGCTCTTTCCGTACTCTTTCTTCATTAGTTTGAACATGCATTGGTTTACTTTGTTGTAACTTATGAACCAATGTCATAAAAATTGATTCAACATGATCCGCCTCAGTATCTGCTAATGCTGACGTCTCGAATAATGCCATATCATTTTGATCAGCAAACATCTGCATAAAACATTTTGGAAGAAAAAAAAATGGACGGTTTAAGATAAATTCAGTTTGAGAAACTTTCCGAAGCCCCGTTTGCCATTCTCCAACTAAGATTTTTGCTACTTCCACCTTAAGTTATTATACTTTTATTGCTATATAAATCATAAGTAATTATACAGTTATCAACACCTCAAAATTAGCTTCCGAAAGAAATTCGCGATTTAATCACAAAATCGAACTTCCGAAAGAAATTCGATTTAATCGCGATTTAATCAAAATACAAAATACACTTCACAAAATACTTCATTTAAAATACTTCACTGAATAAATTTATTATTAAAAAAGAAAAAAAAAATGAATTTAAAGGAATCGAACCTGAGCGACATCAGTTTTAACTCTGTTCTCCACTGTTAAATCACATTTATTTCCAATTAGTATATGCGGTGTATCATTTGTTGACGAAACCGAATGTCTGCGACACTCACTGATCCAATCATTCAACGAATGAAACGATGAAGGATTGCTTACATCATAAACAAATACTATGGCATTCACATTGCGATAATAATGTGATACAATAGATTGTCGGTAACGTTCCTGACCAGCTGTATCCCATAGCTGCACCTGAAGTCATAAGAAAAATGTTGCACACAATTAGCAGTTTATTATTATTATAGGTAAATCAAGAATGAATGACTGATTTTCATATTGATTTGTTCGCTATGGGCAGAAGGAAAAAATTACAGGAATTTTTGGGAAATGAAGTCAGGTAGATTTATCTAGTTCTACAAATTTATAAAGGATGCAACCTCTAGCCTTTCCTATAGGATGATGGTATTACGGATGAATTATTACTTTTGGGGAAAATCCGAGATGTTTTTATATTTTTTATGATAATAAAAAACTACAGTCGATACAATTCGATTAAATAAATGTCTCATCCTTTCATCCAGATATTCGAATCGCATTTCTGTTTATTCCTGTTACACAAAAATATTTTTTGGAGAATTAGTCTTTAACACAAACGAGTTTTATAGACATGAGAAATCGGAATGTGAAAATTGGTTGAGATGAAAGAAAACTAACTAAGTTGGATACTTTCCCAGTTAGCCGACTAATACTTCGGATAAAAATATGGTATGCGTTGACGAAAAGAGAAAAACAAACTCTTATCAGTTCACCATCGATAGCAACACAACGCTCTCGAAAATCCACTCCTATCGTTGCTTCCGTTTGAGCCGGAAACCTTCCATTACAAAAACGAAAACTAAGACATGTTTTTCCAACTCCAGCATTACCTAATATGATAACCTGAATGCAAATCAAAAATTTATTGAAATGCATTAATCAAAGTGAAAGTGAGTGCTCGAAAACAAAAAAAAAAAAAGGAATTATTGAATAGGAAAAGATCCATCCTAGTGTTTACAATATCACAGATTGCTTTAATTTGTAATCAGAATTCACTCAATTAAATACGATTGGAATTCAAATTACTGAATTTTTGACGATAATGTCTTAAATAAACGAAAACATAGAAAAATACCTTAAAAATACGCTTCGCTCGATACGTTTTTCCGGGTTGATAAGCAAAAATTGCTCCGGCAATAGATTTTGAAGGAACTGTTTGTGTTACCCCTGCACTTTTCCCTATAGGAATGGAACTATTAACGGATAATGCTTCCGAATAAGGAACACGACTGAGACCAATGTCAACTGGAAATAAGAAAGATGACGAGTTAGATGCGACTTTTAAATAGCTATTTCTTTTTTTCTCCATTTATAATAACGCAAGATGGAAGTTTTTAAATTAAAAAAGGAAAAACATATATCCGAAAATGTCAAGTACTTAAAAAATTAAAATTAAAAGCATTACTTACTCTCATTTTTTCCTGATTCCTCGGTTGAATTTTGAACAGGAAAGTGTAAATTAGATAATGACGCTTGTGGTGTTACTGTCGTAACAACTGTACTAATTTTGGGAGCTGACATAACAATATTTGACTCTGATAGTCGTTGTGTCGAAGGTTCTTGCACATTGGCAATCTCATTATGCATAGGCACATTCATCACAGTTCTTTTTACTAATACACAATCTGGCAAGAAATTTAAGAACCAATTTTCAATAAATCTAATCATGTCATATCCAGTAGTTCTGGACTAGTCTTATAGTCGAAAGCTTTACAAATTAATTTCTATTAAATAAGCATTTCAATGAGCAGTAGTCTGACACACCATACTGAAGAGTTTGATATCCCGTAATAATTACATGCACCTATAGACTGACCATAAGATTAATCCAGAATTACTCAATATAACGTGATCACGTCCACACAGGAGCAACTCATAAATGGACATATGACTTGCCAATAAATTTAACTCAATTTCGATTTAGTGAGGGTCTAAGTTCCCATGGATAGACATAATTGCCCGACAAATTAGAAATCTCCAAATTCTTACAGATTCAATTAAATCCTTCAAATTAAAAGTAAACTGGCTTTTGGCACTGAAGCTTTCTGCACTTTTTTTTCTTTGCACAAATCCTATAGAGAATGCAGAAGGCCGTCAATTCATTCAGGATTCAGGAAATTAATTTATATTTAACACTACTTACAATCTAGGGAACCTTTTGAAATTTAATCTCAAAACGAAGCATAACTTCCATATGCAATTACACAATACTTTAAAACTATTTTTATCTTTACCTCCAAGCAAAAAATGATGAAAGCTACAAACTCTGATCTTTACGTAAAAAGATATCATCAAAACTGCCACTATTCTGCAGTTATGCGCATATGATATCAGCATACAAGCAAAGATTTTATTTCACACTACATACAGTTTACGAAAGTAAATCTGTATAGTATACAGCAAAGTTTCACAGTTAATTATTAAAAACATAGGACCTAGGAGCAATTGCAAACTTATATATGTGAGTAACTACAAGTGCTCAGTGAATAGTTTATATCTACTATGTGAACTCTCTAGAATTATAGCTAACCATTCAGTTGCACAATGATCAAAATATAGGTTACTGAAAGTATCAAATACATGAATTAAATGAAATATTGGCATATCAAAACAAAAACAATCCAACATAATTTAATAATCTTAGCAGCAAAAAATGGAGGAATACTATTTGAATCAGGTGATATCATCCACCAGTAACACTGAATGTGTACGAGATTTTCGTCGCAAACACCTAAAACAATTACTGGAAGAATCCAAAATTGTCAAATCAAATAAAATGCTTTATCTGCCCATAGAAATAAGTAATGAAGAAACTCTTGTTCTCATAAAAAAACAATTTAAAACAGATTTGTTGAGAACGAGCACACTCATAGTGGGAAGTCATAAAATACGTAATCTTATCGCAGTGATAACCTTGGACAGTGCTTGCTCTTTTTGTTGAAGCATTCCTGATGAAAAGTAGCTAAACAAGTGCGACACACTGTCGCATCATCGGAGAATGGAAAAATAACCTAAAAGATAAAAGCAGTTCCAGGATAATCACAAGAAACACTAATAAAAATCATTACTTTAAGTTTTCTCTTCTCTTTAATCTTTAAATTCTGAACAACTTCAAATACTTGAAAAAAAAAAAAGAATTTGCTTACAGTAGCATCATTACATAACTCGCAATTAAATCCTTTTCCTTTGCAAATTAAGCAATCTTTCATTATATGTTCCGCATATAACTGAATTATTCTTTCAATCTCCGGTAAGAGTCGACCTTGATACAAATCCACTAGGTCTATCAAACTGTACATATCCGAATTTTCGACGAAATGTTGACGATGTTTCAAATTTTGCAAAATTCGTTGCTTACGGGCTACCTTTAATGAAAATTTCTACAAATTATCATGAGTTCCTTTTCAGTTTATGAATCTAACAACAACAAAACTCATTTCAGCAAGTCTTCGGCAAATATTGGAATCTCACCTTACAACACATGAAGTAACACTTCATCAACAATATATTTCGTCGTAGCTTATTTATTCTAGCTAGTTGATCAACATAATTCACTAGTCCTGGATTCAATTTCGAAACATTGAAAATTGGTCGTCTTTCAATAATAACAAGTAGTTGTTTCGAAGCGCGACAAACCTACGAATTAAAATAGTATATGCAAATCAAAAATTTTTCTAATCAAGGAAGAGTTTAAAATAATGCTTTCTAATCAAGAAAGTTCAAAATAAATGCAACATACCCATTTACCTTATACTTGCTGAAATCCCAATTGTGTATTATCCGAGCCGGAATAAACCATTCATCGTTCCAATGACAACGTGGGCAGTAATAATGGCCATTGTAATCACATAACCGTGGTTCACTCTCAGCTGTACCATCTTCAATTTCAACATAATAATGAAAACCGTGCAAACGAAATGAGAAGTTATTAACTCACCAAATTGTAAAGAATGGTGGCATTCTGCACATTTGTAAGTTTGTACATCAAGTCCACGTTCCTCACAAATCTCTGTCCTTGGCCTGCAAATTTACATAAAAAATACCGTATATGATCAGAAACTTAAGTGAAGTAAACATCATTATATCGTATCATAATGCAGTTTCCTCATAAATGTAATTTAAAGTGTGTTTCTAGATATTTAATATATTTGCATGAAAAAGGACACTGGACTATTATTTACAAATCATAATTAACAAGCCTAAAAAGAATATCATTTGCTTTAGTGGCAGCACAGTAACGCAAGACATGCTTCACACATTTATCATGTGATCGTAAACCACAACCTGCAAAGATTATTTTGCATGTGGAAATAAAGTAAAGCCGATAATTCAATTTTATCTACCAATTACGGTAATCGAACTATTACTAGAGCTGAACCGTCTAGTTCCTATTCGAAATAAATCTCCAGATAAAAGAACTAAACTAATCTATTCCACACATGTTGTTTGTCATTCAACTCTCAACAAAAATTATTAAACCCCAATTCAACAAGAACTTACTGTTACATCGACGGTAACTTTGTATCAATCGCCAAATCGTAGATAAACAAACTTCACAATATGGATTTCGACCAGTAGCTGACTGCAAGAAAAACTGATGCCCCATTATGGTTATCGCACGCGAAGTTCGGACTTTCTTCACTGGACCAGATAACTCTTCCTATAAAACAAACCAGCATGCCTTATTCATATCGGCTTTTTTGAAGTTGATCCATTCGATAGTATGTTTTGTTTTGAAGGCAATTATATAAAAAAAAAATATTTATACCTCTATTTGTTTTCAGTAAAGTAGAGGCAACAATTCTGAAAAAATATACTACCTTTAAAGCGTCAAGTTCAAGTTGACACTGAACAAGTTTTTCCATGAGTTGCACCCGTTCGATATTATCCTGAAATTCTTCCTCTCCCTCTCATTATTTTGAAATTTGGATCATTAAAATATCCTAAAAAATTCACATCAAAACCTTACATCGATTTTCCGCAAACGTTTTTTGCAATAAGTAACAGCTAATTCCAGTTCTGCACAACGTGTTATTTCATCCTTATTTCTCTTCCCACAAGTAATAATTTCACCAATTTCTCTACTCATTAAATTGTCGACACCAATATCAGCACTAAAATAATTTGCATTAACAACACTCGACAATCACTTCAGTCTAACTACACTACTTTTAGTTAATCTTATAAAGTAGTTCTTTTCAAAATTAATGCCACCTTTTAGCAATTTCGACTTTAATCTCTAGAGAATTATTTAGATTCTCGATCCCAAGAAATGATGTGTCATATTTTATGTAGTGAAATTAAAAATTCCTTCTTCATAACAAAGTTAAAATCACTTGTTTCGTCCAGCTCTGATCGTTTCGCTATTATCAAAAGCACTCGGTATGTCTGTTATATTCACGCTATGACTCGGCTTATCATTTTCATCCACTTCAGAACAAGTCATGCCTACCGTTTCTGCCATCTTAGACCTAGAAATGATGAACACTGAAACTAAATTCGATGCAATGACGAACTTAGTACATGACAAAAATTGCAGGATGATGATGCAAAACTGTCACCGATATTATGATGGGAATTTCTAAAAAAATTTGAGTTTAAAAAAAAAAAAAAGCTGACATAGTTCTACACGAAAAAATGCTCCGAAGAAGAAGAAATAGCGGTGATTATTAAAACTTGCATGTTATCAAATTGAGGAAACCAACAAATAAAAGTATATCAGTTGCAATAGTATTTAAGGACTGATAAGGTCAAAGTGTCATGTGGCTTGATAAAATCTAAAATGCATAGCATTTGCGGAAAATAAGGCAAACAATAATCACAATTATTTCTATGAATAATGAACACATGGCATATACATCACGTATCTTCTCCCAGTCAATTATCAACATGCAAAACTTAATAAAAAAAAACGTAAAACTTCATGCATAGGCTGCGTTAAATTTCATTTTCAAGGATGAAGAAAAACATTTTGCTTTCATTAAGGTTATCATCAATCGTACCAGATTAAGCTTATTATCCATCAGACATATCTATTGTATTTAGCTGTCAACCTTATTACATATCAGTGTTACGTGACCTTTGTCATACTGTCCTTTTATTACATGATTCATCACATATCAACAGCCTCTTTACATGATTCTTGTCATGCAACTATCTGTGTCTGTTGATATATTGTCCTCCATTTCAATCACATATTCAGGTAACCTTCCTCACCTCATATCTGTATTTGCAGTCGGGTAGTTTGTCATAAGTTTCCCTAAAGTAAACTATATTTCGTCCCTTTTAGTTACTTTTGTTTTTTATTTTGATAATTAATTAATTAGTGCTTCTTTACGACATATGCGTCCAACTTTAAAATGAAAAGTACTGTGTGAACGTGAAATGGAGCTGTTTCAGATATAAGTTCATTACGTTCATTACGTGATATTAAGCCGTACGCACTGCACAACAGTCATCCGAATAAGCAAATAACAAGCGCAGGTTCAGGCACTGAAGTGGATTTTGCGCTGCAACGGTTCGTTAATGGATTTCACCACGATAGGGATGTGTCAGACACTCACCATCGCCGCTTATCTGGCTCCGTGCGTGACGTGACTTCCGTCTCTTATAAGTTTGTTATTCACGTGCTTAGTCACTCATCTTCATCTTTTCTAGTTTATTACCTCCCATTATTTCCTTGACACTTCTTTCTATGCTTTATTTCCTGCAAATTTCAATAAAACGACAGAAACTTTTACACCAAAGTAACTTTGCACTTAATTTGGGTTTCGTTCAATGCTTCTGTGTTTATTGTCCACTTATTCACTAATTTCGGTATCGTTTCATACGCTGTATTCATTTACTTGTTTTTTAGTTTGTCTTATTTGCATTCTTTACTTGTCAGTGTATTGTCTGACCCAAATGCAATCTGTAGAGTGCATTATTGAGACATAATGAGAACAATTGCTAGAAGTGAGGAAGAATGAAATGTTTTCTTGAAACTAAATTCAGAAAGCGCTAGCTTAATGTATGTGATGGACATGTGATCGAAATAATTAAAAATCAAACAGTAGGTTTATCAGAATAGAGTCATTACTACATCTAAAAGTGCTGTGGTTGCCTGCAGATCTAGTGGTGACAAAAAACATCATATTATGTAGGTATGAATCGATAAACTGTGTAAGTTGTAATATTTTAGTTAAAGCTTAGCGAACAAAAGCAAAATAATGGGTGATAGCGATGATGAATACCATAGACGTGGTGGACGTGATAAATTCGCACGTGAGCGCAACGATTATCCAGACCGAATACGACGCGATTATGAATATGATAGGTAATGTTTGGTTGGCTGTAAAATGTTTGGCTTGGCTGCACACTAATCTGTAACCAGGACTTCTCCAAAAATTTTAGAAACTAAAAATTATGAAAAGATGCAGTATTAATCGATGCAAAGTTTAATTATTTCGAAAATAAAAAAAAGAACAAATAAAATTTTGTCATAAATACAAAAACTAAAATTTTGTCATAAATACAAAAACTAAAATTTCATCCGGAAAACAAAATTATTTTGTAGACGTGGCGGCGGTAGTGGTGGCGGAAGTAATACTTATCAGCGAAGTGATTATGCGAATGGTTCATCAATGAAACGCTCTTCATCACGTCGCGATGATTATGTATCCAGCACGAAACGTAGCCGAATTGAGTAAGCCAAATATTGATGCAAATGTAAAGACAGGTTTTGTTAATGTTTCACTATGCTATGCTTATGCGCATGCTTGATGATATGCAGTTAATGGTAGGGCTATCTTTATCTTCTGTATATCAATTCCGGCTCTTCCTTTTTTTAAGATATTTGGTGTCGTGAGACTTTCATTTGTAGTAGTTCTAATCATTCACCGCTTCCCTGACGTTAGATATGCTGTTACTGCTTCTGTACCGGAAAGATGTAGCCAAGTACAGTGCAGTGCAGTAATGAATCCTATATTTCGTTCACACTCAAAATAATGAATTCATATCGTCGTTTCTAAACCAAGAATTTAGCAGTGCGTCCGATACGTATGATCCTGTGATGAAAACATCTGCGGACGAAGAACCAGTGCCGGTTATGATGACGTTCAAAAAATTTCTTGCAACACAGGATGATTCAATAACCGATGAAGAAGCAATTGCTAAATATTCGGAATATAAACTGGAATTTAAGCGACAAGAGCTGCACAAGTTCTTTCTGGCACATAAGGATGAAGAGTGGTGGGTCATGGAACAGATTCCCTATCTACTAGTTCCTTCATTGTTTTACTAATCTTGTGTTTATATTATTTTTGTTTAATTTAAGGACGAATTTCGTATGACAAGATCATTTTGCAGAGGTCTTTTTTTATAACTTGGTTACTTTGCTGACGGTAAGTTCTTGAACTCTTCTCAATTTCTCCTGTCGCATTTATATTGTTTTTCGACATAGGGTTGTGGAAGCACGAGTAAAATAGCAAGAAATTTGGATTCCACAATTTTTTCTTCGTGTAAGTAGCCTTAATTCACAAAATGAATTTTTAAGGCTTTCCGAAGGATGCGCTTTAAGTCAAACCTTTTGTGAATGCAGAGAAGCACTTCACAATGTTATTAATTTTTAAAAAATAAGTACTTTCTCCAGCAGTCTTTAAGCTCCCTGCAATGTTTATGTTTAATAAACATTAGTTCTGTCTTATATCGCAGTGGGATGTGCTGCAATGACTTCTCATTATCAAGCAGGGACTTGAAATTTAGAAACACTCCATGTATTTTTTTCAAACTTTATGTTTTCTTGGACCTCACATAGATCTTTGGTGGTTCTTTGAGATGACAATGCTGAAAGGGTCTGTGGATACTTTATATGCTTTTGGAAGATGACTGCTACACTTTTTATGACTGCAATTTGCAATACTTCATTGTAAGTAAATTGTCTTGGTTTGATAAGAAGAGCATAGTAAAACACTGTGGAAACTTGGCTGACCAGAGGCGCTGTATGCCGCGGCAGTCATCATCAGTTAAACGTCATTACGTCACTCAATAATTCGGAACTATTTTTCATCACAGCAACAATCATCAGTAACGCCAACATCACGTCGACGAAACATCCATAACAACTTCATTATCTTCTAACTTCAAACGACTCTTCATTTCATTCACTTGCTGACTACAATTTCTCATCTCAACCGCATTTTTCTTCTCGACAATTAACCGGCTACTCATCGTCAGCAGCACGCATCTCAAATTTGTTTGAATATTCCAAATGAGGGTTCTGTAAAATAGATGGTAGAAATAAGGAAATCAATGTGTTTGGAAATGGAAGATGGGAAATATATTTAATACAGATTACGATTTCGCGTAAAATATGTTGTCATAATAATGTCGCATTAAGTTGGTTATTGCATTATTGAACTTGGCACAAATAATACATTTTGATTTGTGGATTTGAGTCTTAGAAAATTTTTATAGGTTCCGTCTGAAATATCATCCGGAAGATAGTGGTAGACGAAAAGCTGAACAGAAGGAAAATGTATTACGTCGACTGGAAATTTTCCAAAATCTTTATGATGAAGGATGTATTGATAAATTACAAATTGATTACGATTATGCTCCACAAATTATACGCGTCATGGATACACGTTAGTATTATTATTTTTTTTTTTTTAATTCTAAAGATAAAGCTGTAAAAATTGTGGGTAAATTTACTTTTATTTGATCATTCATATTTGTACATGCTAAAGTCATTTCAGTAGTAGTCAAATTGGAAGGTGGCACAGAAGATGATATTGCAGCTTTGAAAAGTGAGAAAATTGATGATGAATCGGTTTTGGAGTTGAAAAAGCTAAAAAAGTGCGTTCTTGCTTCCTCTTATTTGTTTCTGTAGAGTTTGAGTTAGCTATTAAATTTAGCAGATATTCCAAGAAATTTTTGGCAAAACATTTCTATCGGTAAAATAGGTGAGATAATAGTTTAGCCCCAAAAATAATAACTTACTTATTTACACCAAAAATGGTATTATATAATCATTATATAATCGTGTCTTAGGTTTTCCGTCCCAAATTTTCCTTCCTAGATTTGAAGTTGATCTTTAACGTCAGGATTACTTTTTCCAGTGAAACGAAGAAGAAAATTGCTGAAATCAACGGAGAAGAGAACAAGTCAAAACAGGAGAAAGGCGGCGAGAATCCGAATGATGATGGTGCTATAACTGATTCTGATGATGAAAAGGAAAAGCAGTGCAGAAATGGTACTGATTTGTCTTACAAATAAATGCAACTTTGAAAAAATTGTCGACAAAAGAAATTTCTTGTTGGCTGATTCACTTCAGAATTTTTAATCACTTAAGATAAATTTCTCTCTGTAGGAATTTCACTTTTATTTGTTACTAAATTTTCATTATCTATCAAACGCTCTAAATTTCTATGACTTTTAGTTGGGAATGAAGAAAGCACTAAAAATGAAGAGGAGATGAATCGACAAAAGAAGAAAATGTTGCTGCATAAAACTTCGAGTATTTTCCTTCGGAATGTTGCACCAAATATTACTATGGAAGAAATTGAAACGGTTCCTTTTTTCTCAGTTTTCAGTAAAGTTTATGAAATTGATATCATGCTTTGAAGAAATAGTTCTTACACTAGGTTCTTCCAGAAATCATTCACATTTTAGCGATCAGTCAAATATTTGTAGGCATGTAAGCGATTCCCTGGATTTTTGCGGGTTGGTCTTGCAGATCCTGTACCTGATCGGAAATTCTATCGACGTGGATGGGTGACATTCAGACGAGATGTTAATATCAAAGAAATTTGCTGGAATTTGAATAGCGTCCGTGTTAGTGGTTTTGTATTGTTTTTCCAGTTTGAATTTATTGGGGAAAAGAAAATGAAACCTTACATTAAGGGTTTTGGCTTGCTGAATGTATGAACAACTAGTCATATTTTTATCTTAAATAATTTTGAGAGAAGTTAAATCTTCTCTATTATAATTTTGCAAGGTCCAGAAAAGGTATCAGAAGTTACTTTTATTAAACATTAATATCATATACAGATAAAGGAATGCGATCTTGGTGCAGTGATCAATCGAGATATAGCTCGTCGTGTACGCTCCGTAAATGGTATAACGGGACATAAACAGGTCGCTCAAAATGATCTGCGACAAGCAGCTAAACTTGCTGCTATATATGACAAAAAGGTAGCTTTTTTTTGTAACATTTTTTAAGTTTGTTTTCATGAAAGTTTTATCACAGTGAAATATATAGTCTTTGAAGTTTTAATTTTATAAGCGATTAACAAATTTTATGGTGTCATTGGAATCATCGCTTTCCAGAACGGTCTTTATCAATCAGAAAATCAAGAAGAACGCCAAAGCAGCTTTGAATTGGATGTTGTAGCACAAAGTCAGAATCCACTGCTAAAGAATCTTACCGATTTTCTGATTGAAGAAGCAAATGCTGAAGAGGAAGAATTATTGGGCATATCAAGTGGTGAGTATTTTGTATATTTCGAATACAAAAGGAAATACACCGAAGTTTGTAAACGAAATATTTTGATGCTTGCATTTTTTTTTCTTTGCAAATATTCATGCACAATCATATCCAAATTTTGCTTTTGCTATAATTAGTTAACTATTTGCTTGCAGATAATTTTAGCAGTTTAAATAATACATAACCAAGAATAATAGAAAAGAAAGAGGAAATTTATTGCAGAAGGTATTATTGAAGAAGACCAGAAAGTTCCATTTCAACGCGATGATGCATTGATCGCACGACTTGATCGAATCATAACTTATCTGCGCATTGTACATTCTATTGATTTCTATAATCATGGCGAATATCCTAATGAGGATGTAATGCCGAACAGGTATGTTTATCTTTGTTCTCATTTGCAGATATTGCATGCGGTAAGTTGGATAACCTGACACACTGAACGAGTTATTTTCCAGTCTTTACTTGAGATTATACATCATCTTAAGAGCTACCTTTCTAAGATTGAATTATTGGTTTCTCAGCCTTCTAAACAGTTCGTCTGGATCATTTGTATAATGCTGTGTATTATGTTCATCTAACATTATTAGCTTCTATGTTTTTTAGATGCGGAATGATGCACGTTCGTGGGGCACCACCATCTTCGTCACAGTGGGGTACTGATGACAACGGTAGAACGCTGGTTGCGCAAAAATTCGTTACTGATTTCATTGCTGGATTCAATAATCGGATAGAAACGGCTTTGATGAGTGAAACTTCATTGAATGAATTGGAATTGGACAATTTGGGTAGGAAAGATACAGAGAAGTGAGAAATTATTGCTTTCAAAAATTTTAGATTTCAGTTACCTAGTATTTTTAAGAAAGCGATTTCATACTGGAAAGATTTATTATATTTTATTAAATAATTTTGTTTTGTCGATATGTACCTTAAACTTTAAACTACTTGATGTTTTCAAAGTTTCTTTTTAAATGGCTGTTTTAAAGAGAAGTGGAATCATTTATCACAGCGAATTGTGTCGAGTTAGCGAAAGACAAATGGTTATGTCCATTGTCGGGAAAAAAATTTAAAGGACCCGAATTCATACGAAAACATCTTACAACTAAGCATGGAGAGAAGTTGGATCAAGTTCGACAGGAGGTTTATTTTTATTGATTTGTCTTGAATAATATTCTGCGGATCTTTGTATTACTTTAGATATTTTACTTTCTCATTTAATTCTTTGGTAATTGGCAGCCATTCATATTCATTAAATCAGAACTTATTCAATATGAATGGTTTTTTTGTAGGTAGTTTATTTCAACAATTATTTAACTGACTCGAAGCGACCGCAAAATTTGGAGGTGAAACCTACTCAAGCAAGTCCGCAAGTAGCACCACCACGAGAAGAACGACGTGAACGCGAACGTGGTAATTTTTCTAAAAAATCTGTGAAAGGATGGATTTATTAAATTTGAGACTGTTCATAAGCATATATATCTAAATGAAGACAGCAGATGTATTTCTCGGTTTTCAGACTATGATGGTGATCGAAGTCGCGCAAGTGGTGGTGGTGGTGGTAACTCTTCATACAGCGATCGTGATCGTCGTGGTTATGAACGTAATATTGGTGGCAGCAGTGGAGGACGATACGCTAGCTCATATGGTGGCCGAAACTACGATCGTGGAGGAACATCCCGATATTGGGAATCATCGGGAAGTGGACGCCGTGATCCACGTGAACCAGTCACATATAAAGACCTCGATGCACCGGAAGATATTTTCTGAGCAAAAAACCGGAAATTATTGAAGTGAAAATGAATGTTCTTTTGTCTTAATTTAAAATATAATCTTTTTTATCAAGATATTATTTTCAAATTTCCAGCTTGATATCCGGATGAGAACTTTTTTTCTGGAAATTGACGATAGAAACTTGTTATGTTGTTTTATCTGTTAACCAGTACTTTTAATCAGTTTCATTTTAATGGATTTTGTGTTCTTTCACAATAACCATTTACGAACAGTTCTTACAGAGGATACCTTCAGATCTTTTGGGCACTCTTCCTAATTATTGATATGTTGTTATCGGGCATAACTATTCTCAGCATTTTGGATCTTGTCAAGTTTTCTCTCATAACAGCGCATCCACCGATTTTCTTGGTTTGTAGTGACTATTCTGTGTTTCGATATTGCTTGGGAATAGCAGACTTTTTTGATCTCATTAATATTAGAGAGCAGGAATAAAATTTAGAAGCTTTTTTTTAAATAACAACAAAGCAGTTGCTTTTTTTAAAAGAGATGCTGATTAAATGTCATTGAAAGAATTCAGAAGAGGTTTATCGTTTCCAGCTGATTAAAATGTTTTCAATGAAAAACTAATTCTTGTATTATTGTTTTGTTGGTTTGGTAGGATTAGAAACAACATTGTTCTTTATTCTTTGGATTTGCTTTGCGAATAGTTTTTACCACATTTCTAGTTATTATCGCTATTTTTTAATTTTAATGTCATATGTCCAAAAAAACGTTTGTGCTAAAAGGAAATATCTTTTTCTTGTAAAATCGTTTTTCTTTGACAATTCTTCCCCGTATTAAAACGAGTTGAGATAATATCTCATATTTTGCATCGCAGTATGATACTCCACCCTATCAGCCACCTATTCCTACGTTTTTTTATAAAGCATAAATAAGGTTCTTAAGACTTAATTTATTTTTACAGTGGCAGTAGAAAATAGACGTAATGAGTGGATTTCTTGAAAATGGGGCGACTTGAAACACTTGAGTTGTTTGTCAAATTGATTTGCAGATGGTTATTAAGCTTAATTAAAAATTAATGCCTAGTTGGATGTAGGTAATGGAAGAATAGATTTATTTTGGGGGAAAGGTACTACTATATTTCACATATGTAAACTGATTGAATCTTTCAGAATGTCTGTAGAAAGTATACCTCGTGATTTGCGTAATTTACGAGCTTGCTTACTATGTTCAATGATAAAGAGTGTGGAGCAGTTTGAATTGGATGGATGTGATAACTGTGAAAGATATTTGGGGATGAAGGGCGATGAGGAAAAAGTTAGCGAATGCACTAGGTGAATCGTCTTATAATTAGTGTTAAAGTTCTCAAAAAGTGTGGACTATATTTCGGAAAATACTATTTTTACTAGATGTGTGTGCATATTTCAACTTTGCATGATTGCATTATAAAGGAATAAAGTATTCTAGTGTCGAATGAGAAGTCTGCTCCACACATCTATTTCGTTGTTAAGTGTTATGTTCAGCAAAGTATATTCAGTTACTTCTGAACCGGAACTAGATTGAGTCAAATAAATTCATACTCATTTAAGCAGAATTCAGAAGTTAAGCTAGCGCTAATTTTTGAGACTGTAATTACAGGAATAAATCCAGGTGATTCTAAATTACTAGACGTAAATTCATCGGATTACTGTATATATGCAGCCCAATTTTTCGAAAATTCAAGAATTTTTTAAACTTACCAAAGCATCTTTTCAGTTCAAATTTTGATGGAATGATAGCTGCGACGGTGCCGGAAGAATCCTGGGTATGCAAATGGCAAAAAATTAACCGTAAAGTAAGCTACTACTGCTAAAGTAATCTGAACATATTTTTATGTTGCAGATTAACTATTTTATCTTTTTTGGAAATTTATTACTCTTTTAGGTGAAAGGAATTTACGCAGTTTCGGTCTCCGGTACGTTGCCATCTCACATAGTTCAAGAATTAAAAGCGCAAAATATCCGTTACAAACCCAGCATGCGCGACATGACTCAAAATAACTAGCTAGTAATTTGTTTATGTTTCTTATAAACAAATTTGTTCTTGTACATTTCTTTGTGATAAATCCGTTGCCCGAAAATGATGCACATGCAAAAAATAAAAAAGCAACCTCCAATTTTTTCATTTGTATTCTTAATTCTGAGGGCATTCTGATCAACACTGAATTATTTGAACTAATCTTTTATCCTAACACAGGAGCCTTCTTTAAAGGAGTGATATATAAACTATAGCAATGTCAGGCGATATGTTTTGTATAAATCCCTCATCCAGCATAATTTGAAAAAAAAAAAAAAAACAGCTTCTGAATAAAGAGTTTGACGGATTTTCTGGAGACTAGTTTATGACGGCTCATTTTTTAAATTATGAAGCTTAAGTGAGAGAAGGCATTACATTCTCTCTCTTGGAAAATCAAAGAAATTTGCCATAGTTTAAGACGCAGACAGTGGAAACGTTTAAATTAAATTTTCTTCGCTAAAATGATATTATGTATAAGAAACTAAAATACAAATTAATCACTGCTAAAACGCAACAAAAGAAAAATGGTGTGCAAAGAGCATATTATTTACAAAAAAAGTTTGAAAACAGTTCAATTCTAAAAATCACGCTTGCGACTGATTTAGCATACGTTTTACGGTTTTTTGCATATCAGTAATGGAGTCGTTATATGAGGCAATAATGGAAGAATCGACTTGCGCTTGCTCTTTGAGCAATATGATATATACTGCCTAAAAAATAGTCGGGTAAAAATGAATTTGGCTTCAATTCATCACTGCTACCTTGCTATTATCATAAATGAACAAATCTTATTAGAGAAAGGCGCAGTGTCATGAAGTGTAACTTATCAAGCAAAGTAAAATGGGCATTTTAAGGAAATGTAATATATCGAAGTAATATCCTGAAAATGTGCTTACCTCATCATAAACATTACTAACTTCTGGAATGAGATCATCATTTCTGAGCAATTTATGAACATCAGATAACTGAGTGTTTATCGATGTGACACCTTTATTAATCATTGTCCGCACTTCATGCAGTTTATTGAATACAACATTTTTCTTTTGATTCTGGAAGAGAACAGAATTCTTTTGATTCTGAAGTTATGTTAAAGGAAAAACAGGAAAAAATTCCATGTTATTCCGACAATATCGAAAGCGAATATACTGCGCTTCCCAATTCCTTCAATCAAAAAAGACATATTTCAAATCCCTCCAAATAGAATTCTTTTCTACAAGATGTAACTAAATGCAGCGACTCTCACTAAATCTGAAATTATTTGGAGAAATAAGTTAAAAACGAAAACTAATTGTTGATCTATGATAAACTGCAGTATAACCATTTATAAAAGAAATTCAGAATCACTAAATGAAATGAACTGTTTCTGTTACAGCTTTAAAAAATTTAAAAATACAATAGAACTTACTTTCGAGGAATTACCTTTTCTAGTTCCTTGACCAAGTGAAAATCCAAAAATATTATCCAGAACCATTTCCAATAATTTGACAATTAACTGCGCAAATGAAAGAATTTGTAGCACCATGCTGCAGTGACGTAATGTTAAATGGAAACAAAGTGCACCCGTAGCAACATTCGAAGCAACAACAGCTGAAAAAAAAGATCAGTTATTATTACAAACTTTAAAAGTAAATAAAGTTTATTGCACCAAAAATCAAAATTGAAATTACAGGGCTTTCAACTAATATGAAGTCAAAATAACATGCTGAATGTATTCGGGAATGTAACGTTTTTAGTTTTTAAGCGTTTTTAAGCGCAGCTAATCTTACGATTAAAACTTTCGAATCTTGGATCAACTTTCAAAACAAACTAAAAAATGAAATTTAAAATTAACGCAACCTACCAATAATTAAATTTTCAACTTCGGTAACATCCGGTAAACAGCGAAGCAATTTTTCCTCATGAATATGTTCAATAAGCTGAAAAGAAAATACATTTTATTCAACATAAAATAAAGCAGTCACAAAGCTTAAAACACGCTAAAAATTCTAATTACAGCACAGCATATCTTCATCTGCATTAAATTTCCCTTTAATTTTAAACTGCTTTTCAAACTTATAAAAAATCATCAGCCGCTCTCATCATAACAATAATACTATGTTGCATATGCAAAAAATAAGGATTGTGAAAATAACAAAAAAACTTTGATCACAAAATTAAGCATAAAACTAAGTTTACATAGTATAAGGTATTTATTCATAAAGAAAAACCCCCAAATATGTAACTAAACTGCTTTGTTTTCTAAAACGTTAACTCACATTGGATGAGGTTATTTGTTCCGAACATTCCACCACATTTGAAGCTGATTTTAATAAAAGCAATAATAAATCCATTTTTGGCGTATTTGTTAATTCGTATAAATGTACTGGTGGAGGAGATTGTAACAAATTGGGCTGAAACCACATTATTCAGTTAAGGAAGATAGTGATTACCTCGAAAACGCATATTATACTTTAACATTATAAGGTGTGCATATTAGGAATATTTAACATAAAAAAAGCTAATGCTCGCTACCTGAAAGTAAGGTAGAAATGTTGCAAAAATGTCTTATCAAATTTCAAAAAGTACTAGAAATCACAAAGACTAAAATCAAATTTATCACGAAGTTTTTAATAACCTTACCAAAGTTTCATCCTTTTTATATGTTTGTCTGCAATGATCGATATGCTTCTTAAGTTGTTCCAAAAAAATGGACAAATTTCTAACCGTACACTTGGAATGACCTACAGCTGCTATTGACTTCATTAGCAAGTGGCTTAATTTCATTGCATCACACTGGAAAACATCGGTTTGTATTTTTTATAAATTACTGAAGCTTGGAGAACAATATTACAAATAAGATTTTCGAAGCTCCATAAGTTCAGCAAAATGAAAATTGACCTGCTCATGATATGTACGTTGCTTCATTTCGTTAAGTTTTTGCTGTTCCCTATTAACATCAAACGATGGTATGATACCGAAATCACGATTATCTTCAAGTCCAAAAAAATCTGAAATGTTCCAACAGCCTTTTTGCAATAACTGCTGTAAAATTGGTACTGATTAAACTTACTATGTAATTGTTTTAAAATAAAATACTGTCTCCAGCATCTTTTATTCATTTATTTGATATAAATATCCTTTACTTTATAATTCTCAATCAGTCATTCAACCATTAAATAAGCCAATACTTACATATACAAACCGTTGTAAAATTACGAAAATGTCAGGGATAATATTAACTATGTTTATAAAAGGAGAGAATTTGAGCAGTAAGTTTCAAAACATACTTCTTAATATTTTTTTGAAAAAAAAAAACAACTCAAACAGTTGTTCCATTATTAAACGAAAACTAACCAATTGGTTCCTCATCACCATACATAGTATCAACAACAACCTGAACTTTGTCAACTGCAAAACACGCACTCAACGCTCGGGTCTGTATATCAACACCGACAGCAAGGAAGGATTTGCTGACTTTATTAAGAAATTCAACTAGTCTTGGCACTTGCAAAAAACTGCCATTTTTGTAAGCTGTAGTTAAACATTCAGACACCTGCAATTGAAATAAAAGTCACTGAACGACTAGGAACCAAATATGATTTCCTGGTAAATAAGATATGACTAATTCACAAAATAACAATCAAAATCAGTGAATCCCATTCCTCCTGAAAAATAATAATAATAATAAAAAACAAGACTCCAGTTAAAATACCTTATCAATTCCTAGTTTTTTACTCTAAAACATTTAAAGAGCTGGATAAAGTATCTAAACAAACCTCCTTTTCTGTTTGATCAAAAAAAGCGGCAAGTTCTGTATAGTGAATTATAGCACTACTAAACCTACCGTACTGCTCCAGCAAACCATAAACAAGATAACCTGAAATACTGCCACAATCAAATTAGGTGACCAGTGTAACTGCAATCTTGTCATTAAAAACAAAAAAAAATTTAAAGACAGTTCCGCATTTTTATTTTCTGCGAAAGATTATAGCAACAAGGTGAAGAGAATTGGATCAAATTCAAAAAGGACCCCTCATCTGATAAAGCAGAATGAATTAACCTAAAGTATCCCTTTGAATATATTTTATATCCAAATTACGCATAAATCTTTGTACTTGAGTTGTAACACCAATAGATGAATAAGCTTTACATAAAACAATAGCACTGATCGGATCTGATGGGTGATTTTTAACAACCCATTCCAGCAGCAATATTAATTCATATAGTGCATCAGTATCACCTAAATTTTATATCGGTGTTTGAAAAATTGGAAATTAAATTCAGTGGAACTAGCATCAACAATATTGAGTATTTCATAAAATGGTATGAGATAGAGCTGATAATTTCTATTTCGTCGTACTCAATTGGTTATATGTTAAAGAATATTACAGTACGTTATGGAGATGCGATCACCAAAGATAGAACTCACAAAAATTATATTACTTAGTCAGTATACAAATTCTGCGAGTTAAATTTCAAAATCATTGCGCTTTACAGATTTTGAAGTATTGATAAGCTATGTATATGCATGATCTTCAGCTTCATTCCAATGCTACATAAGGATTACTATAAAAGAATAAGCAAACAATTCAACATTCGAGATGCTTTGACTTTACTCGTCAATTCGAATGCAAAAATTGTGCAAAAATTTTATTTCGAATTTAGGCATAAATAAACATACCGTTATCAGCGTACAGGTCCCACAGCAAATTTGCAGCAAGATGCGCATATGCAGCTGCAGCAAGATCAGAATCTGAGCAGTAATCAATCATTTTGATCATATAAGTGACCGTCCTTCTTTTTTCCACTGCTGACTGCTTTTTATGAAGCCCTAATCCTCGCCGTAAACGTTGATATATAATATCAGCCCAGTGAATGTTTGTGGTCTACAAAACAAGAAGTATTCGATTAAATTTAATTTAAAAGTGAATCCATTTTATTAAACAAATATCTCCTAATTCGTTCACAAATTGCTACATTTGTAAATAGAACAAAATTAAAGAAAGACTTACTTTCCCTTTCTCTTGATTATGTTCTTCTTTTAATAAACTGATAAAATCCGAAACCCTCTGTATAAAACCATCAACCTGGTCATCTCTTATAAGGGAGAGAAAAGGCTTCAAATCAACATAACAACACGGTTTGCTATGGAACAAACGGATATACTCAAATATATACTCATCAGGATTACCTGTAAGTTCCTCTTATAAAAAATACTTTCTCTTATAAGTACAGAATTCTCGGAATAATTATCTTCAATTATTGCTTATTCCATAAAAATTGCTCAAAAAACAAAATTATTTATGAGATTCAACTCTTTCCTACACAAGTAACTTACTAAGTTTAAGCGTATCTAATAGACTGATTGCTACAATTTCATTTTCCAATAATTTCCTGACCAGTGTTAGACGTGCAAGAAATGGTCCACGTAAGAGTATTTTATTCAGCGGTTCGGCTAATAGTGACAAAATTCGTTCGACAACTCTATCGAGCAATCTGAAAAATAACTTCAGTTTAGTCAAATGGAATCAATTATCAATCTGAATATTTCTTAGAAAAAAGCTGAAATTTAGACGTTCTCGATCTTTAGAAAATGAATTTGAATCAAACAGTCATCTTTTGCACCTTTTTCTTGCTTCTTCTTCAAATTCCTTCACAGATGCAAATGCCGAATCAAACAGAAACGTCCATAGCGACCAGTCGTCAGGACTGCAAATTAAATACGTTTATAATAATAAGAAAGATACAAAGTGGGGATTCTTTGAAACTCTTAACAAATTTTTCTTTTATAAGAAGTGGAAACTAACTTATTTTTCAATTCATTGATACTACGTTCAATAACAGTCTCATGATCACCTTCCAGTTGGTATAATTTTAAAATTTTGTAAAACAGAAACTGAGCGGGATGCTTTATATGTCGACGCGCCAAATTATCAGCTAAAATACTGACAATTCCAAAAATCAAACTAATTTAATCACTGCTTTTTACCTTTGCAACATGATAAGAAAATTCCTTGATGATTCCTGCATGATATGTACAAAAAGCAAGCAGATGATTTTACTGCCACCAAACATTCGGTTTAAAATTTCAGAAAATATGAGAATTAAACATTATATACATAGTTAAGTACGTGTAGGATATACATCTAAAGAAAATGTTTAGTATATACTTTCAAGAAAGAGCGCAGCTTTAGCATATTGTCCTGAATTTTCCAAGATAAGCACGTATAAATCACATTCTGAAATTCAAGAGAATAATGTTTTGTCCAAGTTCATCTTGTAGTCTATACTTTCAAGAAAGATGAATTGAGCAAAATTCATACCATGCCATCTGAAAATATATTTCTTATGAAAATAACTTTTAAAATCGGAATATCGCAATACAAACCAGCCTCAGCTTGTATCAAATTGGATTCGATCATTTTTGTAACCATTTTTTCAGCTAATGGATAAAGTGTTGACTGAGCTAAATTCTGATCCCCCGTAATTGCCTGCAGTTTTTATTAATCGAAATTATTTGAAACTTTACTTGAAAAGCAAGTGTAGTAAGTCACTGACAAAACAAAAGTATTTTGAAATAGTTCCTAATCTAAAATAAGTGAGAACAGCTTAAAGGAACCAATTTCTTGACCCAAAAACATTGACGCCAAATGCTATTTTTAATTTTCAAGCAAACTTTGCTCAAACTGTGATGTCTAAATACACTAAAGTAAATGCAATCTGAAATAAACCTAATGGAATAAAATAACCTGAACTTCACCAGGAATAAAATCAGACACATAATAGCGCAATGTAACATATACCTATTCAATCAGTAAAAACCTTTTTTAAATAGCAAAGTGCTGAAATCGAAAAAACAGCTGACTTGCATGACGATGCTCATAACATTCCAGAAATAGTATGGATTTCGTTGAAATTCTTTATATAATGCCAAAGCTGTCTTCTGCTGTTGCTTGTAATTTCGTACACGAACATAGCTCATAAATAAATGAGTCAGATACTGTTCGTTTTTAGGATAACGAGCACAGATCTTCTCATATAATACAGATATTCTTTCAGGTGTATATGCTTCCTAAAATTATATTAATAGAAAATATTAGCATGACTCTGCTTGAAACACCAACAGATAAAACTATACTAAAACAAAAATCTTTTCCAAATTTTCAACTGGAAAAGGATAAAAGCGGCTTACGATAATTATGATAGGATGTAAGCTCAGCTGAAACCTTAAAACAGTGACATAAAGCTTGAAGAGTATTTTCATCGAAATCATCTTTCACTGACTCAACTTCATCGATCAGTGGCCATGCTTCACCCACACGGTCAGCACGAATCAAAGCTAGTGCTTTCAAAACCTTTAAAAAAAGAAATCATTTTGAGGTTCGCAGCTTTTACACTGACATTTTACTCTGCTACATTTACGATCCTAACTCACTACAAGTTTTTTGTCCTGACACAAACATTAACTGAGAGTAATTCCAAACAGTGAATCACAATTTATCTATCAAACAATTAATACCTTAGCACAATGAGTGGTTGGATGTTTCTTCAAGACTTTGTCTGCTTCCTGCATTGCTTTTTTGTTACTTCCTGCATCAATTGCATCTGAATCGTGCATATTTTCATTTTTTTTTTAGATGGAACAGTAAAATTATAACTATTCTATGAAATATGGATTAAGCGGATTCATTTGTTCACCTACCTAATTTATTAGGACTTAATTATTACGGATTTAACAATAAATTTCTGCCACGCAAACTCCTAAAATTTAAAGAAATGTTCCGGAAAGTTCAAATTTCAACATATCAGTTTCAACATTACAAATTAAGAATACCATATATCGGTTTGAGCCGTCTTTCCAACACAATTTGGTCACTGCTTTTCAACATTTCCCAGATCAAATCCAACTAAAGCTTTCACAAGCACTAAATTTCAAGCAAAAAATGAATTACATAACATGCAATGAAGCAATAACTCAGGTAATATCAAAAGAATTCCAATCACTTGTACCTTTACCCAATGCTTATTGAAATTTTACAAGTTGTATAAAAACTTAACAATCCACAGTGACAGTCATATGCCCGTCCTTCCATCTAGTTTACTGATTAATTCGCCACTTTCATATTCTAAGTATTACATTATTAACTGAACCTATGAGAAAAATCTTTGTCTTAACTTAAACCAAAATTCGAATTAAACTTCTCAAACATCAACGCCATACAATCCGGAAAACTATCCTACCGCACGACTAATGGATAATTTACAAGAAAAACTAACTGATCAACTTAATGATAAAAAAGCCATTCAGGAAACCCTAAAACCGAACAGATACATCTCAGACCACCCAACTTAGTGCTGTGTTCCAAGGAGACACCTTCAAATCCGACCACTCAAAAAAGTTGTGCAGGATGAAATAACGGAAAGAAATTCAGATTTCCAACTTTTTTCATTTGGTTTCTTTATATTAATCGCAATCTCTTGTATTGTCACTTCGTTGTTAGCTACTCCAATCTAATTAATTTTTTTTTTCTTTTGAAATAATTAACACTGAAAATTTTCCTTCTCTTTCTTTATTTTTCGATTCATCAGTTTTTCCTGGTAATTAATTATAAGTCGCCATATATAAGTAAATTTATTTTCGTTCATTTTATGTTTATACAATTCCGGTACATATCTAAAGTTTTATTTTTCAATTTATATTCGAACGTAAGCATTATGTTTATTGGAAGGGATAAATTGCAATGTTTCTTGAATTTATATTTTCTAGTTGTTAAATTTATCATTTAATATTAATGTAGATTGATTTGTAGATTCATGTATTGCCATGAATGAGTTACGGGATCTCTGTCTTCATGCATTTCAAGCCGCTATTGACGGTGCACAACCATATCAGCGTGTTCGTGACGTAAGTTTTAATCGGATCGATTATTATTTTCAAGTCGTTAAAATAGAAATTGTAAAATGGAAAAAAAAATAGAAATTCACTAAATGCAACACATTTGGTGAGCCTGATTAAAATTTTGGAATTCAGAAAAATTTGAAGATTTCAGACTCTATGCTTAACAAATGGGTGTGTCAAAGTGGGACAGCGGATTTATCAAGTTAACCACAATATTCATTTAGCTGCTTTCGGTAAGGCTGCGTTGGATATGGTACGTGGTGCGGAGGATACATTGGACGATCATATCATCGAAGGTATTGCAAGCGTTCCAAGGGGCACACTCCAGAAATTGTACATTTTGATAAAATTCAATTTTTACCAAATGATCGGTAAGAGAAACGGAACTTGCCATCCTTAGAAGTATACCAATAAAACTGAATGAAGACTGATTTAGATGAGATGGAATACTTCAGCGGTTTAATCTAGTTTATTGTTTAATCTTAACAAACTTAAGTTTTTGTCAGAAAAAACATAAATTTGCGAACGAAGTTCCTGGAAGGTGCAACAAATAACTTACCGGATGAGAATGCTTGTAATAATGCTCGGCTGATTGAAGAAATGGCAGAGAGATTGCAGACATCAAATGATATCTTTCTTGTATTGGTTTCAGGTTTTTTCTCTTTACTTTTTAACTTTATGGAATTCTCAAAAGAAGATCAGCAAGTCGTTGTTTAAAAAATGGATAAATCATAGTGGGTAAAAAGAGAAGCTAAAGATTGATTTTTTGAGAAATTTACTCATATAGCGATAATTTCCTGATCTCCGAAATTTTCGACTGTTGTTTGAACTTTTCTGTCAAAGATTTTGAAAACTCGTTTAGGTGGTGGTTCAGCTCTTCTCTCAGCTCCAATTTCTTCTATTTCACTTGATGATAAACGAAAAACTATAAATGCAATGACTTCTCGTGGAGCTGATATTAAGCAAGTGAATATTGTTCGAATAGCACTTTCACGACTGAAAGGTGGCAAATTGGCCCAAATAGCACATCCTGCCAAAGTAACAATATAATCTTTCAGTTTAGAATTAGGATCGACCTTAAAAGTATTTTCTAGTCGTAGCTTTGTGTACACGCAATTATTTTTAACGTATTAAAGTTGTTTACAGTTATTCACTTGCTAATAAATTAATGAAGAATGACATCCCATCTAGTCTTTTGCAGATTTTAGCTATTATCGTTTCCGATGTTGTTGGCGATTCATTGGAATTTATAGCCAGTGGTCCGACTGTTATTTCTCCAGATAAATACGATCCAGTTATTATTTTAAAGAGATTGAATGCTTGGGATGCTATACCCAGTTCAGTGCAGGCCGCTCTTAGCGAGCCTTATAAAATGAATTCAGCTCACGTGAGCATGTGCTTATCTTTTTGTTTTTTCTATTTCCAATGTTTTTATTTATGATTTACTGCTTCAGTTTTGGATTTGGGGGAATTAGTGGGCTCTCGAAAAAAGATTTCATAACCAACCATTTTCTTTGTTTTGTCCTGTGTGATGAGCAATTATTCAGTAATATGTTTTTTGAATGCTTCTTAACGATATACTTAAAATAACGAAACTTACAAATATATATATATATATGTATATATAATATAACAAAAACATATAATAACAAAACTTAAAAAGAAAAGCACAAGTTCCTAACATCATTAAATTATCTTCTTTTTTAGGATATTGAACATATTGATGTTCATAATACGATTGTTGCAAACAATAAAAGTGCACTGTTAGGTGCCAGTGAGGTTTTAAGAAAAAATGGCTATCAATGTCATGTTGTAAACACTGCTGTTATGGAAGACGCTAACTTATTTGGATTTCAACTTGCCAATATCATTAATGCATTGATAGCAGGAAAATCATTTTATCAGGCATTACAATCTGCGAATATGATATCAAATAATACAGCACCATATGGAGGTGAATACTGATCTATATTGATAGAAATCATAAGAGCTTTATTTTATTTAACTGAATTGTTAAAAAATTTCAATTTTCAGTAAATTCCACTATTTGAGATAAAACTGCTCTGCTATTTGGTGGTGAATGTACGGTAACGGTAAAAGGAAGCGGTAAAGGTGGTCGCAATCAACAAATTGTTCTTGCTGCCCTTTCGAAACTGCTTGAGCAGTCGAATTTCGGACAGGAAAAGGTGGAGTTCGCACTGATGAGTGCTGGTACAGATGGCCAAGATGGACCAACAGATGCAGCTGGAGCTGTTCTAACCAGTAATGATATGCAATACTTTCTTGAAGTGGGATCGCAATGGAAAAAAACAGTGATTGATGAATATATAGATAATAATGATTCTTATAATTTCTGGAAGAAATTTAATAATGGAAAATCGCACATCATTTTCGGACCTACCGGGACAAATGTGATGGATGTTCAAGTATTATTACTCAATACGAAATAAAATTTTAGGAAATCAAAATGTAACATTTAAAAAAAAAGAATCAAAATTTGAAACAGTTGGAAAATGTCTGACATTTTAAAGTATGAAGAAAATTCTTTGCTTTTTATTTTGTGTTATGCGTATCACACAACACTCACGGATTTTGGTGATAACAATATTTTCTAATTTCCTGATGAGATTCAGTAAAAACAATGAAATTAATTTTGAATTATGGCTTTAAATAAATACTAAGACTGCTTTTACTGCTCCGAGCTGCATGGCCCGGTTGTGGTGAAACACTGTGTTTCGGAAGATGACCATAGTAACAGTCAGGTCTCCCACCTATTTTGCTAAATATGATTTAAATTAGCAGTCTTCTGGAAAGAGTTTCGTAAGCGGGTTAGTAATCTGAGCGAAATTAAGCAGTAAAGTCGGTCCTGCACTGCAAAAATGATCTCCGGTTCGTCTCTCTATTCTAATTTTTATGAAGCAAAGATAATATTTTGTACCGATATTTCTTGGGAGGAAGGACGGTATGGAATAAAGAGGAGTGTGTGGGTAGATCCTTAGTCCCACTCGAATATCCATTAATTTTTAAATTTATTTAATGGATCCATTCTTGGATGGTCATTTTGGGTGACGGTGACTGGCTGAGTGGTCTAGTGGTATGATTCTCGCTTAGGGTGCGAGAGGTCCCGGGATCGATCCCCGGCTCAGCCCTTCTTTTGTAAAAGTCGTGTTTGTTTCCTGAAATTGTACGGCAGGGTAGTCTTGTCACAATGATCTAAATTAATTAATGAAATGATCTGTGGCTGTTGATAGAAAAATAATAATTTGGTAAAAGCATTTTTGTTTCTCATTAACATGTTTAGGGTATTCGTTTACCACAGATATAAGTAAGAAATCTATTGATTTTAATAAATTCATCAATTTCATCTGACAAATTTTACATTTGCGAAGAATAATCTTTTTGTTCGTAGCTTAGTGTTATCATTAAACTAGATTCCAATTTAAGTGAAATAAAGATTTAAGAATAGTAGTCTTTATTCCTTTTTTTTTTTTTCAGTTGTAAAGTAATCTTATGATTGCCTTATTAAAATTTCTGGTCTTAGACTTGAGTATTTTTCTATAGATTAAAGTTGAGAGATTTTTCTATAGATTAAAGTTACCATTGCCTAGAGAATGATCCATAATTAAGTTTGAAGATAGAAAACACTGTAAAAGATCTATCTTTGCTTGATATTTAATGAATAAATTAGAGATAAATGAATATTTTTCAAAAACAGTATAAATCTGACCATCCAATTTCTAATTTATGACCTAACTTATTTTGATAAAATCACAAATGAAATGATCTGTGGCTGTTGATAGAAAAATAATAATTTGATAAAAGCAAAGAACAAATAAATTCAGAAAATACGTAGCGGTAAAAATGATAGTGTATTTATTCTGTATATCAAATTCATTGTTCTAAATTGTTTGGTATGTGAGTAATGATAAGCGCAAAAAGAATAACAGTTATAATATCAGTTACCGCCATTAAATATAACAATGAAAAGTACTGTATGCACATGAACTAAATGACAAGTAAATAGTAAAATGAAACTAAATTAGTATATTGAAGAAATAAGGTTTCTTTAGTTCCACCTAGTACTTATTACTAGTACGTATTATCGATTGCTTTTGATAATAAAAGTGGTCTTTAACTTTTGACCTCTTTTTGATTTTATAATGTTTAACTGACTTTATTGAAATTAACTTTTCTATAATATGTAATTGGGTAGTCGGTAGACGCCTCATTAGCTCAGTGGCAGAGCGTCTGTCTTGTAAACAGAAGGCCGCTGGTTCGATCCCAGCATGAGGCACTTGTATGATCCGGTTGATCACAGCCCGAGGTGCAAGATTTTCCTATTTTCAAATTGAATAAAAATTATCTAAGCTAAAATACATGCTTTGTTTTACTGTATTTTATGTTTTAATCTGTTTTATAATGATCAATTGAACTTTTCCATTTGCTTTAATTTGAATTTCATACAGCGAAATAATATTTCACAAATTTGGTTGAGCTTAAAAATCAAAACATTCCTCCAATGCATTCTTTCATTGTTAGTTCAAAAAAATAAAAATAATAAAACAAAGCTTATTTAGTATTATTTGTTTTATGCTCCTCTCATTGTAAATTTTTCAAATATTAATTCAAAATAAGGTTTGATTGTATTTAGGAGAGAATGCTACTAGCATATTTAGCCCTAATGTAATCAGTGCTAAAACTTGTGTTTTTTTTTTCTTTTTTCTTTTAAGATAAAATCAATTTAAGATTTAACTAAGTCTTGATATGAGTTAAAATTGATCGTTTTGCTCATATTTAATGAAATTTTGATCATTCGAATTATTAACAAATTTGCTAGAAGATTATGCTTATCATAAATACATGCATGCAATTGGAAATTACTCTATTAGTATATTAATTTTAACTAAAAGGTAAAATTCATAATTTCAACAGTAAGTTACTTGCAGTTGCTACTAATTTACTTATCTACTAATTTGTAGATAATTTGGGTAGCATATCATTTGAAGAAAAGAAAGTAGGCAGGTGAAAAAGGGCATGAAAAAGAATGAGTCATTTTTTAATTGCATATTCTTCCATCAAATGTAATTAATTTAATCTTTCCATCATTAATGCAACAATTAAAATATCATTTGCATCAAAATAATAACGTTAAATTCATGAAAGAACCTGAAAATAACAAGACGATACTTTTATGAAGTAATTTGTTTTTCTATTCACATATATCATTAAGGATAATTATGTGATTTAAAAGTTCCTATGTCATCTGAAAATTTCAGATTTTAATTTCAATTCTAATTTTACAAAAGTAGGTAACAACAGAAAGATCAATTGGAAAAATGAACGAAATCCGAGTTTTCTTTTTTCAAGAATAATCTATTTCGTCCATTATTCCTTCAATTCATTTATTGTAAAAAGACAGAAAAGAAGTATACATTTTACTCATATAATTTGATTAGATTATTTATATTTATAGAAACAAGCATGAATATCAAAGCTTTTAGATCATTTTTATGGATCTTATAGATCAGGTAGGTAACATTATAAAAGAGATGAAATGATTAAAAAGTTTAAAAAAGTCTAAGCTATTTCTTCTTTTATTTTCAAACCTTAATAAACGTACAATCGAACAGTCAATGTATTTAAGTTAGAACTTCTAAAAGAAAAAAAAATGTCATTTTAAATTATAAAATATTAGGAAGAGTTAAATCCTTTCATGAATTAAACCAAACATAATATGAGAACATCCACTTATTCTTACTTTCTTGTTTTTGTTAAAATAAAAATTCTTTTTTTTTTTTTTTTTTAGCTAAAAATCTGTAGCTACATACGAATTTGACAAAATCTGATTATAAAAATGAGAAAATTAAAGAAATTTTGACGAAAAAAAAATAGGTAAATAAATTTCGAATTTTGTAATTTTTTCAAATAATGATTCAAACGGAGACTTCAACTTCATTAAAAGTCAAACAATTGTTTCCTGAAACAGGCTCCTTTGATTGAATAACTTCCACTTTTAATGTTATAATGACATAAAAGGAAGGAGAGCAAGAATTTAGACATTTCCGAAACCTCTAGTTCACGAATACTGTTCAAAGTATCCAGTTATTTGCAAAGCGAAAATCCACAGCATCAAGTGATAGAGAGTAACGAGAAAAAAATTAAGATTTTTGGTGAAAAAAAAGAAAAGAATAAATCCTCAAAGAATTTGGAAAGACACAGACTTTGCTCTCATTAAAAGTCAAACAATTCCATCCTAAAAGAGGCTTCTTTGGTTGATTAATTACTAAAACTAAGCAATAGTTTGAATTGAAAGATCCTCACTAGTTCTCACAAATTTTAGAAGAGAATTTTGAAAATAGGATTATATTTATTCTCATAGTTTTTGATTCTTCGGAATTTTTCGTTGAGTAATATGAATGAAACCAATTTTGTGAAAGTTTATTACTATCTTTCTTCAGGTTGTGTTCTGACCATTTTCATTCATGAAACCATTTTAATTATCAACAAATTTGTTTCAACACAACAGGCACGAAATACTGAAGTAAAGATAATTCGATATGTCTTTTTCAACTCAATTTATCTTCGGGTAGTTAAAATAAACTTCATCGGAATGACATATGCTGAGGTAAGAAACAATTTTAAAAATTTTTAAATTTTACAATAAAATTTAACAAATTCCAATCAAAAAATGATCATCTCTGTTCCACTTTAATTGCAGAAAGAATAACACCACCGGTGATAAATTGTTGCATAATCGGATGAGAACGATCTTGTATGATTTGATGACTACGATAAAAAGCATCCACAACGTGTACTTGTACCGCATGCTTTGCTTTCAACCAGTGATATGCGGAATATAGTGGCTGAAGGAGAAAAAATACTTGAATTAATAAATTTCAAATCCAGAAACAACATTAAGAACTTTGGCGAAGTTTTCAAACTAATAAACAAGTTAGCTGATGAACACTTGCATGCATGTAATACATCAAGCGCATCAAGGATGAACAATAACTGGCATGTCAAGAAATGAAAATTTAATTGTATGAAATAAACGAAGGGAGCATTAATGAACATGGATAAAACGAAGAAAACAGCGATATGCAAGTAATTTACATAATGTTGTCGATAAGAAATAAAGTTACTATAACATCTGTAAACGAATGACTCCCTCAGTTTTTCAGCTGTTATTGAGCGTATTTGGCAAAAAATTATTTACCTCAGCGATTGGACAATAAATAACAATTGTTGATGATAAACGCAAAAATGACCATGTTTTTTCCAGAATTTCCACCGGATTGATATTTTTACTAGCAATAAATAATATTTCAATTTCACCATTTTGCATTAAATGCCAAGCATGTCTTTGCAAGCGCTGTCTTTCAGCTCTTCTTTCTAGCGAGCTATCAGTAACTGCTGATTCATCCTGAAAAAAATTAAATTTCAAATCTCATATCAAGTAATCTCGAGATAAAAACTTGCCTTCTCGCCATCATCATTATATGCAGTATCCTCATCGTTTTTCTTCTGGTATTTTTCTGTTTCTTCATCCTTCTTAAACAAACTTTCTTCTCCATCCACTCCAATTACTGCTTCCTGATTTTTATCGCAGGCTGCCACTGTGACAAATTCTTTTGCATCAAAATTCATAGGTTCTTCAGTTTCCTCCATAGATTTTTCCAACAAACTGGATATGCACAATGGCAAAAATACGGAACTAATCTGAAAAGTAACTGAAATATCTTGAATCCCGAAAAACTAACCAGTAAACCCGTTCGCAAAACCTTAATTTCCAACAAAGAATTCCGAAACTTACAAATCACAAAAGTAAACCTCTTTATCAAAATCCATACTATCAACACACGGAATCGCTTGTGCTATATTTCCACGATGTAGATGGATACAAGCACCTGACCCACCCAAACGTGTTAACACGGCTGACGTTAGCAAACCCAAACATTGTTCAAAGACAACACAACGTGAACCGTAGTGTATGCCACTAAGAGCCAACAGATGAGATAACAAATCGATTCTGAAAATGAAATATAACTCATATCAATCACTTATGAAGAACACCACCTGCATCCAATGACAAGTAATGTATGATAATACCACTGCCATGTTTTGATACAGAGTAATCTTTTTCCAATAAAAACGGCGTTATCAACTGTGCACCCTGAGCTTATTCATTATAAATTCTCAGTTAATTATGGCCTAAGTAAAACAAAACCATACCTTAGATGTGCGACTCTTTCAGGATCTTTCTTATAGTAAGATTCAGCGATTAAGCGTAGAGTCGGCTTTAAAAGATAAACGTGATCTGAATGCTTCTTTGCTTTCTTATTGATATATTTGTTTTGTGAATACACCGTGCGTTCGGAAAATGATGCACTACCATCGACCAATTTTGCTATCTATAAATTCTTTTCTGTAAAATCTAACAGTATCGGAAAGAAGATTAAAATGGAGGAGTATAAATATTAAAGTTAGACATACTGTATGAATACTATTTTAAATTTGAAACATTCAGCCAAAATAAGCATAAGATAACAAGTGGTGACTATTCACCTCTCTATACCTGTTATAAACTTCTTAATTTAAAATCCGAAAAAGCTCAGATCTAGATTTTAAAAAACATCCACATTTAACGTACAAAATATGTAAAAAAGTCAATTTAGGTTTAAAATATTCTTTATCTGCCCATTTTTCCAAAAAATAAGTTGTTAAAGTTTCGTATAATTTATGCTAATAAATGAATAATTTGAATAAATATTCAATATGCCTGCCAGTGGTTGCCATCCAAGCTTCTGTTTTTTGAGCAAATATTCAATAATGCACTAACATTACCAACTGCTCCGCTGGTACGCCTGTATCTTTCATTTTGATTATTTCATCCTGCGTCACTTTCTGCCTTGTTTGTGCTGCATTATCGCTACTTGCTTCTTCTGCTGATGATCGTCTATTATTCGTTGTGCTACTGATACCATTTAATTTGGATGATGAACTTGTGCCAACTGTATCTGAAAATATTACAGGACCTAAATACACATTAGCAAATTTTGTAATGAATGGGAGGTTTATAGAGAAGGAAACGAAAAAGGCTGCAGTAAATTAAACAATAATAGCAATCCGAAAAATAATCCATAAAATATCTGCGAAATTATTTTTTTTTTAAGCATTACTAGCCAAGTGAGCAATAAAATTGTTCTCAAATCTAATATATGGAATGTCATGTAGGATATACCAAAATCGAATGTAGCAGCAATATCCGTAACACTTTCTGGTGTAACACGTGTCAATTTTCCCGCAGAAACCTAAACAGTATGAATTAAAGTATATTAATCAAACGGATATACTATAGTGCACAAACCAGTTCGAGTATGTGAATTTAAAATACCATAACTAATATCACCAATGAAAATTTAGTACTAAAAAAAAATTTAGTACTAATAACTACCCATGAAGTCGGGCAGCACTATTCACGAAAATTACCTCAAACAGTCCGAACGGTTGATCAATTGCGCCATCAATTTCAAATCGTAATTTTTCGATCAAAATTTTAGTTTTTCGCGATATTTTACACACGCGTAAATGTTCACCTCCCATTTTCTGGATAACAACGTGATTCCCAACTCGTATCATTACGACTAGTAAGGTACTGAAATAGTATTAATGATAAACAGCGGACATATCTACCTAGTTGATACACATCGAAAGCTTCTTCATGTATTTCCCAATATACTTTTCTTTCCAGTTACCTTACTTAAAGTAAGACTACATTTCAAAAGCAGACAAATTCAACCAAAAGGGATGAGTTTTCTCCAGCACTTCAACGAAAGAAGATTGAAATTGAATTATGTCTAAAATATTAACTCAACCCATTCCTGATAAAGTGCACAACTCCTAACCTCACATCTCTTAGAAATGTTTTGAATTTAACACCAAATCGAAATGAAATAGAAGCGCTGTCTCACATTGCCTGGACCCACAATGCAACCATTGTAGCAAGGGGAGAAGCAAACCACACCGCGACACGATACGCTTCCTCGGCGTTTGGAAATTTCCACGGAATGACAACCTACGAAAATTATTGGAGACCGTTGAATCACCACAATAACCCCACTCCCACCTTACCATATCAATAGCCACAACCCGCAGAAACCGAACCAAGCCATGCACTATCCCCAATGAACCCAAACGGAAATAATTTAAATCTATAAAAGAACTGGAGTGCTTCCATCACCTCTTCATTCATATTCAGGACGGTATACCTCTACATACCAAGCATATTCTACTGACCGTTGACTCGTAAAAGTAAAACCCAGCATTTAAAGCCGTACTTGTGAAACTACTCATTTATGAACAATTCCTTATCCGTACAATTGATCCTAATTTTACCTTCAAGAGGATGAATTCAAACTATCCTTCTCCTCCTACCTTCTTTCTTTTATGTTTTGCAAATACGCCATGTTTTAACTTTTCAAGCAAGAAATAATAGAGAAAAACAAACAACGGAAAAGAAATAACCTACGAAATGTGTGCTTCCATGAAATGTGAATAATTAATGGCAAACAGCCGTTACATTGTGAATTCTTTTTTACATTTCCTTAGAAGAGAAAAAGCAACGATTTCGTAGTGGGAATAATAATAACAGCAGGAAATCATAGAAAGTACGATGTGATGCTGACAGTAATGGTTAATGTAACAGCAGTTATATGAATGAATTGATTTGGGACAGGGCAACTTATACACATTGAGTTTTTCAATCAGAAAATAAATGAAACAAGGAAAACACTGAGACCACTGACATGAGTGTAGAAAAAATATAAATATGCTAGCACTGAAGGAAAAACCACCCCGTGAAATAGCTAAATTAATTCAATTTTAAAAATAACAAAAATATGCCAACTCCGCAATAACTCATTATTCTTTAATCCCTAGAAATCCAAAAAAACTTGCACTGTTTTACGATTTTAACTTTTCCCAACTATTTCACAGTAGCGCAGCAGCAAATAATGAGCGTCCTCTCAGAGACATACATATCCATGAAACAAACGAATTTACAATACACAATACTTCAGGCTTGTTTTCTTTTACTAATGAAGAAAATTACATACACGTATTTGAGCGTACATGAAACCCCTTCTGTATTTTTCTGGGAAACAAAAAATAAACAAAAATTGGAGCCGACGATTAAAATCAAATCAACACCTAATCCAGCATCAAAATTTGATTAAACTACTATCCAGTTATTCCAACATTGCACGCTTACGCACTTCAACGTTTTAACAGAGCATAAAATCGTCAGCAAAAAGTGACACAAGTTTCACAGAGATTTTTCCAACAACTCACATCAAATTATGACACTATTTTTACAGACATAAGCATCGCAAAGATGTACATAACTTTTTATTTGTACAAAGAAACAAATTTTTTTTTTGGAAATACAAGCAGCTATTCCTCGCAGCAAGCTGTCAAAAAAACGGCCTTAAACTTTACTAACTTTCCAGTCCCTTTTAATTTTCACCTTACAAACGTCATGACAGCCATATACCTATACAGCTAAATCATTTTATAATCTAACCCGCAATAACGTTCAATCTTATACAGTGCCAAATAATCATCTCCCCATTCTCACAAAACACATTTTGTATCCTATAAGTTCATAGAATATCTCGAGAAACGCAAAGGTTGCCAGGACATTGGATTGACAAATATAAGAATTTGGGAAAACTTCCTGTCCGACCTAATTCTGGAGAACTAATCATTTAATTTCCTAGAACACTTACGGGAAGACAAAAAAACTTATAATCTCAAAAATTAAATTTATCAGAACTGGACAACAGAACCCACCTGCAATCTAATACCCCACTCAAACTTGAGGAAAAAGAGGTAAATGCAGGTAGTCAATGAATCTAATACTCATCAATACGAAAGCATGAAAATCAATTAATGACATAATTGACCATTCCATGACATGCAGCAATATCACGATGGTTATTCGTAACTTTGTTGCTTAAAGTATTTTCTCCAGCCTCCGTTGGTTCTGGGTACATTTTTTCCGCAACTGCAGGTGTCGTTGCGGCGGCAGCTGCTGAATTTCCTCCGTTTCGGTTAACAGCATTCCCCTCAGCAGGTTTTTCGGCAGCTAACATTGCATTTAAAGGCGATGAAGCACTACCAACACGGCATTTAGCCTGGTGTGATTGCAACTCAATTCCGACCTGCGGAGAACTGAAGGTTTCACGCTCGCGATTGCCACCATTTGTTTTGTTTATTGTACTGCCGCCACCTGTAAGATCTCTTTTTCTCGTCAGAAACGCTGCAAAATGATTTCATAAAAATGGCTTAATACTAACAAAAGAAGTCATTGCCTTTGTTCACATATGTATTGTAAGTGGTAACACTTCCAAACACTTGGAAGTGTTACTAAGAGTAAAGATATGTTGCGGATCAACTTAAAACAAGTACAAATTACGTTGCTTGCAACTAAGTCAACATGCATTTAATATGTCGTCTGTTACTGAGGTGCTATGCCTTCTATACCAACATACACCTGGATGAAGACGAACCAAAAACTTTCAGGTTACCAGTACAGTACAGATCAACATCTATTTTCAACCAAAGATGCTTCAACAATCACAAATTAATAAATTTCCTAACTGAATTGCAACTGCTATTTTTGAATTAACTTCAAGAACAAAACTGCCCGACGTCTTAAAAATATCAAATAACCAACGTCTTGCATCAACCTGAGTTCCATTCAGAGATGGTCGAGCGCTCACTACCGCAACAGGTGTTTGGATTTTTGGCTCAGTCACTCCGAAATAATTCCGCGCTGACTGATTCTGTACTGCCGGTGACATAGCATGCGGTGTTGGTGGTGACATGCTTTCGCTGCCCGGTGAGGAAACATCTGTTACTGGCACATAATAAGCTGCAAAACAAAAATAAACCAATACAACATTCAAATCAAAAATTTGGGTTGAAATATGCACGAAAATGAAATGCAACCCTACCATTCCAGAGTTTGATAATAAAACTACTTGACAATACTAAAGCCACGTAAATAAATCAGCAGATGTAAACCAACGTATTGTTCTTTTACTAATCACAGCCCAAAAACTTTCATGCACGTGAAACCCGAAAAAATCCATTTCAAGGAAAAAGAACTTACAAGTAGTCGTAACCACATTAGTGAATGGTACATAACGATGAGTGTCACCAACTACAGGTACATATTGTGGGACAGTATATGCTCTGGTAACCGTTGGCATGACCGCCGCATTACTTAACGCTGTTTTTGTATTCGATAACCCGCTTCCCAATAAAAGATCTCGAAGCGTCTTTGTTTCCGGTGGACAGGATTGTAAAAGCGAATGAGCAATCATCGGGGAGGGCTGTAAAATACTGTCAAAGTCAGTAATTTAATTACTGAGGAAACTGTATAGTTCAAAGTAAAAAATTTCTGTTTAACCATATATCAAAACTTTTGTAAATTTCGGGATTTTAAAGCCATGTTTTCATACACATGCATTTTGTACTATAAACCAGCCAAATTGCCACTGCAATGTAATGTGATAACATTCAACATCGCAATTTCATTCTTAATGCAGACTCCAAAACTTTTTACAACTTCAAATCGTTTAGTATCACTTTTTTTTCGGCATAAACCAACAAAATACAGATTCTGGCTTCCTTCGAGATAAAATTTGGGTTTTCTTGCAAAACGGCTAATTAATTTGCTTAAACAACTTAATAGAATTCACAAAATCTCTTGAATACGAGATAATAATCAGACCTTAATGCGCGCTCCGGAACCTTTTATCGCGAGTTCAAGTCGTTTAGTATCAACGCAATGCGTAGCTTGCGCTACGATATCTGCATGAAAACCAGAAGTATTTAAACGCTGCAGATTCATTTCCGGGCGCGGAAGGGATGACAACTGTGAAACGCTTGAAGAAGCAAACGACCTCCGCCTTCCACCTGCCTACAATAAGGATAAAGAATGGTCATGTCTAATAAATCCCACACACCGAATTCCTCCTGACCCATTTATATTTAAGTCATTAAACCGATTCTTGAACTTACTCGTGGCCTAATATTTTGCCCACTTATGATAACTTCCTGAGATGGTACAGCCAAAATTTGTCGTTCCAGATGATCCTGCCTTGGTGGTTGCGTCGTAGTTACAATCAATGTTTGAGCTTGATTCAACATACCAGAACTGTTGACAAATTCAAACGTTCGAGGAGGACGATGTACCGCCTGCTCTCCCGTCGCCAGCAACCTCGTTGATGGAGGTAGCGGTGGCGGGAGATGCGTGTAAAAAACCGGGGATGATTCGCTAGTTTCGGATGATAACGACATTTGTGACGAAATGCGTAAGGAATGATCATGTACCCGTTTTTGCTGCAAATTTTTTAACAAAGGTAAACCGAGTTTTATTCCAGGCATCTAAATAATCCCTTATACAAACTGAAAAAAAAAAAAAAAAAAAGCAATGAAGATGTAGGAAACCCTGATGTTCTTATTAAAGTCATAATTGGCTAAATTTTGTCTACGTAATACTGATAAACCATTTGTTATTTAATATGCTATGATCTACATTGTATTCTTTATCTTTCTCTTTTTAAACTACTAAAAGATGGGCAATGGTGTCAAGGATTGCTTACTTGATAATTTACAGACGATGCATTCAGTAATGGTGCCACTTTTTCCACTTTCCCAGCAACAGATGCAGTCAGCAAAACGGGCTGCAGGCCGCAGTCACTGACCGATCTTGCACCAACGTTTAATGGCGGCCCATTTTGTTGCAAACTTAAGAGACACAAATCTCATTTCCGATTATGAAAAAACTGTGAAAATCCATCAATTTTTTGACAAAAACATAAAGCAGTACTCACTTAACAACCCGCAGACGATCTGGTTCCCGAACACCATTGACTGACATGACATTTTGTCCAATACCCGAAGCTGACCCGTCGTTATCTTCACCAAGCACCACTACCTGTTCACCGGTACCTCGCGACGACGTACCATCTCGACCCACCTACAAAATAAAATGACTTATGATTAAGACGTATGTGACTAATCAATTCCAATATGAATCTAATCAAATTTCCTAATCAAAGTTTATGATAAAAATCCTTCAATGTAATTTTAATAAATTTTGAAATCTCATCCTTAATTTGTAAATACTTACGCCACTTTGAAGTTTCTGTGTGGAACTGGTATCAGATATGTCAAAAATTCGCCTCGCATAAAGCTCTTCTTGCCTCCTGTATTCTCGCTCATCTTCATCATTCCAATTTTTACGATTCTCATCAGAATCCGAAGAATCATTATCATACTTATCAACATCCACCAGTTTACATTGATAACTCCTAAATATAGAAAATTTATGCTACAATCTATATACCAAAGTGTAATCAAAAACTCGATTGCACAGTTTCGAGCACTTTATAATTGCATGATTTTTAAATGCTCATAAAATTAAAGTCAAGCATATTCACGTTAATATTTCGAAAACATTATTACAAGCATTTTTTTTAAAAAAAAAAACTAACTTTGTGGTATCGATAACTGAACTGAAAGGTGGATCCGGAGCGGACTGTGACGTTGAAGGAGCAGAAAGCAGAACACGATCGAATATAATTCTAAGAATATTTTTATCAATCATTTGATCTCATCAATTTAAGCTCTACATTTATCTCTACTTATAGAATATGTCTCTAGATATTGACGAAGCAGAATGACTCGAATCACCAAATACAAGTTCCAACATGAAAAGCCTGCCGAAAAATACACAAACCTTCCACCTCGTCCCATTCTTCGCCTTGCGTAACCAATACAACGTACACCATTCGCAGATGGCATAAATGTTCGATAGAAACGTTCTGCTGGACTAATCTTTGGAACTGTAAAAAAAAAAAAAAAAAAAAAAAACTTTTTTAAAAGACAAAATAAGAAAAAGACAATCATATCAAAAGCAACGAAAGTTTATAATCTCTACCTTCCGGTGGATTCGAGAATAAACTGGACCGATATATGCATCCACGTCGTCTCTTAAATGTGTATCGGCCATCCAATGCTGCTTCTGCGTTACGTTCCGCATCACCTGTTGAAACCGTGCTTGGAGATGCACCGGCATTCAGTACATTCGCAGCAGTTGCTGGCTTATTCCACAACTGAACTTTTAAATAACTATCACTGTCATTTAATTACATTACTTAGTAATTTTTGAACATTACCTACTGCAATGAATTCATTTCTCGCACTAACAACTTAGATTTCTGAATCCTTGAATTACTTTTATTCTCAAATCAGATATTAATCCTACCTCTGCGTTTCTTTTCAACCACGCCCGACTGACTAGATCTTTATCCGTGTCAGCTATTGAGGTTCTGGAATGTCGTTTCCGCTTCTGCCCTTTGATTTTTGTTGGTGATATACTGCTTGGCAATTCATCCTGAGAAATGAAAACATCAAATCCATAAGAACACGACTGATGAGTATAACAAAATCAAATTCTCACGTTTCTTTGACAAAATGCGCCAAAGTATAACAAAATCAAATTCTCACGTTTCTTTGACAAAATGCGCCAAAACGCAATTAGCAATTATTTCGCAACATGCACTACTGTCAAGGAAAGTGTATTCCTGGAATATAAGACACTAAATGCTAACCTGCGACTCCTCCGTAGGACTCATCGTCGCATTTCGTTCTAATTTCACTTTAGACAATATATGGTTGTACAGAACACAACTGAAGTCACAAACAGTCCATCGACATTTGCAGATTTTGTCATCTAGCCCTATGACAGTCTGTTTGGTGTGTTCCCTGAAATTATTTATAAGTCCAATTCATAAAATTTGGATTCCATAAAAATCCGCTTAGAATTTTGGAAATACAGTATGACAAAAATCTGATGTTTGTTTACCTTCGCCTAAGCATATCGAAGAGGATGACAACCCTGCTTAGATCGTGGCCAAGTTTCAGTATCTTTTCATATGAATCTTCATCATTTTTACGATTTTTTCTAGTCTGCATTCTTTCTAAACGCCGCCGAAAAGCAACATAAGCAATATCTGAACCCGAAGCATCTCGGCGTGCATCCGTTTTTACCCGTGGTATCAATGAGGCAATCTTATGCGATGCTGCTGCATCCTAAAATATATTACAATTTCACAAAAAATTGTGTTTGCTTTCAAGCACTGTATTAACACAAATGACAAGTGAAACCACAAAATTCTGCTTTCCGATTTATAGTTTTGATTATTCCAAGATCTGAAGGAAAAACTAGCCTTGCGTTTTTGTAACCAGTAATCATAAACATCATCAACGAGATCTGTTTCGAAATCTTTGAGCAATGACCGCGCCTCGTTAGGCTGACATATTTGCAAACCGCTGCTGGCACCTTCCAGCAATTCCATCATCTTTTCGAAATCACTCTCTGCAGTAAATCCGCCACGTTCAGCCAACCATGTTTCATCCTCGCTATCGATATCATAATCAGGCTCTTCGTTTCCAAGCGATAATGAAGCTGTAAACAGCACCGGTTAGTATGAGCTGATTAATGTCCAAAAAAAAAAAAAAAAAACAATAGTCCTTTCAAAAGGAAAGATTTGGGAAGTGAAATTCATAGATAGATAACATGTTTCGCTTAATTTGATGTTCTCTTCCTGGAAATGATGAAAATAGTTTCGGATTTGGACAAATGAAGATTTGACCAGATCAAAAGACAGAATCAAATATTAACAATTATGTCAGGCAATAGCTAATTGCCTAAATAGTCAATATCAGGAGATAAGTACAAGCTCTATATAAATTAATACAATCACGAATGAATTTTTTATATGCAACAAGTAGGGCATTTACAAAAAACTCGCACTTGGGGAAATTTAGTTCTTACTTAACGACAGTTGTGAAACATTCTCTTTCCACAACATGTGGGAACCTTGGGAAAAATTAATGTTGTACCTTGTTTCATATGATTGGATCCGGACCGAAAAAGTAATTTTTTCAACATAAAGTTTTTCACCGCCGCAAAATTCATTTTTGCTCGCTAATGATTTTTTTCATTAAAATTATGATTCACTAATAACCTCTACAGCAAACACCAAACTAACGTTGCTTCCGCCAAATGAAGATAAAAGCATATGTATTGATGTTTCTTCGGTTATACTTCACACCCACCACCTAGAGTTCACACTTTTCAAATCAGTCCTTAACTCCAGTAGTAATACATTACCCTAAAAGTTTGAAAGGGTTATTCACAATCTACTTAGAAATCTGACTTAGACCAGGCTTCTTCAAGTAGGAATCCTACCGAAACAGTACAGCTCATTTTCTTACGCGTTAGGCTTAAATCATGCACTTCCCACTCATGAGAGATTCAAAAATGTCCACTGTACTACATTCCCCTTTTAGGAATCAGCAAAAACTTTATGAAAGGTTATAGTAAGAAATCTCAGCCTTTAATCTTCAAAAAACTTCAATCAAATTAAAATTAATGAGATTAACGATCGATCTGATAAGAGATGCCCGAAAAAATTTTTATGATTGAGTTCATTCATTAATAATCAAGGAACCACGAAAATTTGTCCACCATTTTCACTATAGAATATAATCCAGCAAAATCTTACGAAATATATTATTTAATAACTGTACAAACATTACATCTAATGTATGGAATTCACCAACTATACGTCCTATCGTGTCACGTAAATTAGTCTGTTGGCGCTTATTCACTTCGGTATTCAAAAAGGACACGAAACTATGTTACAAAAAAAAAACTACGTCTGGCTAAGAGAATTTAGTTTTCTCCTTAAAATCACTTCTTATTTCAGACCAAAAAGAATCTTGGGAGCTGAAAGAAATGCCGAGTTTATTTAGAGAAAAATATTTTAAGTAGAGATGAAAACATAAATATAACAGCAATATGGTACTGCCAAGATGTTTTCAGACAAAATTCAATTCATGTAAATCTGAATTCATAAAGAAGCAAGGGCCGAAAAAGAGATTTAGAAACTTGAACTAAATTTACCTGAAAAGTGGAAAAGACTAGGATTCGCTAATTCTCAGTAAGACCTTTCCTCCTATCCCATGAAGAAACTCCTCTAAGGCAAAGAAAATGCTAAAACCTTTCCATTTCTTTTTCTTCGGAGAACGAAATGCTTTCAGTTTTTATTAGCTGATCATAAATTCGTTACCAAACAGAATTTGAACCCATCTTTCTCCTAAGCTTTTCCCAGACAGAAACTAAAGTGCATAGTAAAAAAAAGGTTCTTTTGTATTTGCTTATTGTATGTACTTTCATTACCAAATACTGAGCATAGAATGTACCAATGCAAAGCAAAGGCACAGTTCATGCATCAAAAATTTGAAAAGTTCTGAAATTGAAATTTCCAACTGAGGAGACGGGCAAAAGTACACAACGAAATTAAAGAATAGGAAAAATGATAGAGCCGAAACATTCGTACCTTGTACTTTGATGAGCTGATTGATAGATGGTGCTGGTTGTACTGGATATAATGCATCATAGTATCCGCAATCGACAGTAAAAACTTTTGGCGTTGGTATGACATGATTTTCTACAGCAATACCCGATGTACTGGCCTGCTGCGCAAGGATTGCCTCTTGCAAATGAGACTCCTAGAATTGAGACTAACGTCAAAATTCAGAATCCAATCTGACAATAAGAAATATAGGTAATAAAACTTGAAAACAAAAAATTACTGCAAAAATTTCCGGAAGAGCGAACGAAACTCTCAACTACTCTGAACAAACGAATCATAAAACAACCCTTAAGATATACTGAAATTTACACTTCAGAAATGCGTTTCATTCTAAACATGTCTGCAGCAAAAAAATAAAGCATCCACCCTATTTTTTAGACAGGATTCTACTGATATAAACAGTAAAAGCAACAAAACATTATACCTAAAAATTAAACGAATAAGAAGTTCAAAAATGATTGTTGGAACTAATAATTGTCACGGCTAAAGATTAAAGTTGGTCATGGTAAACTAAGTACTACATAAAAAAAAATTTAACGAAATTTCAAAAAACCACACATGTTGAGACATTAACGAGCAATATAAAACAAACTCAGCTTAATCTCCACTGCAATCCCACATGTCGAACGGCAGGAACACTTATATATGTTAAAAAGGAAATACATGCTCGTTAGTAAAAAGAATTCTAAACCACCAACAGTTTAATAACATTAATTGGAAGTCCTCGGAAAACATGATTATATTTAATAAGCCATGAGTCATCATCATCACTACAATCTGACTTTCTAAACTGTTAGAGACAGTCCTAAAATGAACTTCAGTTGCTTAAAAAAGTTTATGTAAAGTGGAAAATACTAGAAATATTTTATTAACATGAGCGGTACCTACAACTGAATTTCTAGTTATGCCAAAACTATTTTGGCAATTTTCCTCCCGACTTGTGTTCGACGTTATTTTGAAAGTATCACCGCATTAAATCTCAGCTGCTGACTCAGAGTCTTATTCTACCTTACTTCAATAAATTCATTACTGAATGTAATCAAGAGCACAAAATACTTCTATTTTGAAATATTTTATTCTCTAATGCTATAATTGTTGCTGTTGATATCGGGCTTTTACAATCGACCTTGCATTATTACAGCATTCCTGATTACCATCAGCATCAGGTGATGGCTGACCTCTAAACACAACCATTTGTGACCGACGTATCTATGCGCTCCTTGTCCCCTCTATATCATACCTCGCCCATTCTGTTCTCTTTGATCTCTCATAATTTCATCTACTCTTAAGTTCTACACACTACGATACTTATGCATAAAAGATCGAAGGCAATCTGGATGGCCCAGTAAGCAAACAGATGGTTGAAGAAAAGGAAAAATCAGGAACAGATGTACTGCAACAAAAGTTACCCACTGCTAATACTGCAAAATATTAACCTATAAACCATATTACTACACTCTCTACTACTGGTACAGATTTCAGATTGACTGAAATATATAGTCGAAGATATTTTTACCAACTTAAATGAAAACCGAGGACTGAACTAGTGTTAAACAAAAAGACCCGAAATTAAAATTGAATCAATCAATCCAATTTTAAAAAAAACAAAGAAAAAAGTGTCTCCAAATCACAAAATAACGGGAAAATGGAGCACGAATTGCTCAAATGAAATTAAAAGGTCTGATGAATACAAAGATGCAAACTGCAGCTATCACATTTTTTAAAAGGAATCTTCAACAGTAATTTGATTGCAAATCTAATCTAATAAACATGAGGGATTTTTGATTGTATTGCGGCAGACGTGTATTTCACATCAAAACAGCCGCAACTTTGATGTGGAGTACACTTCTACCGCAATGCAAGGAGAAATCTCCCATGCCTACCAGATTGCAATCCACATTACATCATCATTACCTAATAAAAAATGGTGCCGGTAAGAACAGGTGATATTAAAGTGGTATTAAAAATGACCCAAAATCGGGGAAACTAGAGTCTTCTTCCGACATCTGTCATAGTATGGAACAATATGCAAACAGTTTACGAATGATTAATTTGACACTGTGAAATGCCTTCCGCAAAAGAATTTTCAAATACGAGAATTTTGCTACAAAACGTCATCTGTTAAAATTGTTTAGGGATTAACATGCAAAAGTTAAAAATCCTTCTATCTAATAAAAAATGAATTGAAGATTAATGAAGCTGTCTCTAAAGTTAAAACAGTATAATAACAACGTAATATATCATTCGTTCGAAAAAAGCTATCCTTCAGACTTTAAACATATTGAAAATACCATCTATTTATACTGCATGACAATGGGATTCCAGTGGTAGAAAAAAACGAAAGCAATTATTGTACTAGCATTACAATTTGGAGTAGATGAAAGAAGCTTGAGAATAATGTAAGACACAATATTAATGATTTTTTTGGAGGAAAAAAAATAAAACTTCCAATTTCCTTTACTGCTATTTTCTGATTAATGTTATGTAGAGAAGTCCTTCAATAGTGGTGTAAAGTAAATCCTGGAAAACCAGCTTCATGCGATAAACAATGATATCAAATACTACACGGTAAGAATATTTTACACTAGACACTCTCAAAAAACTCACTACAAAAATCCTCAAACTATTTCACTTATACACTCTCGCCATCCCCGTCGATGCTTGCTATATAATAAAATCCGTAAACAATTTGTCTTTAGAAAATCCATAAAAATCCTAGGAAGTTCCAGTAACTTCTAAAATTAACTCTACAATATTGTATAGGTTAGTCAATCTACCAAACGCAACTGACTTTAAGATGTGAATTCCTCTAAAGAGCTATTATGTTAAATGTTTCTTTAATCTTTCCGCCGTTCTCTTCGAAGACCAGCCAGATGACTTACATTCCTGTTCAAGAAAAGAAGATAAAAGTGTCATAAATCATTTTTATGATAATGATAAATCTCCAAGACCCAATAAATAATTTCGTAGCAATTCTAACAGTTAGTGACAGAGAATTTTAAAATTCCTCATTTTACAGGACCTACAAAACTATTAGATGTCATGAAAAAGAAATGACAACAGACAGTAAAACAGAAAAAAATAGGCGAGATTATTGGTTGTTGCAAAATGTTCGAATTTAACTGTTGTAAGAGAACAGTTAGTTAATCGCTGTTAACTGAGCAGAGGGAAAAGGAAGAGATGTTGGATTATCTATACGGCAATTGCTAAGCTAACAAGCGCACTAGAAAATAGTACAAGAGGGAGAGAAAATCAGACAACTCTTTGAAGCAATAAAAGTAGCATGGAAGTGTTTGATGTGGGAGAGGAAGAGGGCACCTACATTTTCTTCATCTTTTTCCATACCCGTTGGCATTTGTGCCACTGCCCGATTGATCGGTGTACATTCAGCCAGGTCGGGTAATTCATCAGCGCAATATACGGGCATTGATTTCGTCGCATCCAAATTTCTTGCCCGAAATGACAGCTTACTCGTTGTTGCCATTATTGCGATGTTATGTATTATTGCTACCGCTCCTTTCCTTCTATCCTGTTTAGGCCAAATCCAAATAGGCTACTAATGGTGCTTTTCGTAGTAATAATAGTAGTGGTAGCGGAATATAACGCGACCAGTACCGCCGTTAAATACAGTTGCTGCTGCTTGCTTATGCAATAAATTTAGATAAACTTCCTTGGCGGCTCGCAACCGTGTATCGGGTGGGTAGCAACAGCAGCAGCTGCTGCTACTACTACACCTTCAGGCACCGTTCAACCTATTATTATAACGAACTGAAATCAGACGAACAACATCACTCCCGGACCTTTCGGCAATATAACAATACAACTGCATGAATTTAGAAAATAGCGTAATATTAATCGTGTCTCATGAAACGCCAAATATGCCTACACACGTCATAAATAAAACATCCTCCGCGATATGGCGGGGAAGTAGGGCTTCTCCAAACTTTCCATTTTACTTCCTCCTTCTCTCTCTCAGAACAAATTCAACGGCAGAAATACGACTACTACGACAACCAAAACGCTCAATATTTGACGATATCGTCGGTCTCCCGCTGCAATGTGCTGCAGCATACATGTATGTGTGTGTCTGTGTATGTGTATATATGTGTGTGTGTGTGTGTGTGTATATGTGAGTATGCCAAAAGTAACCGCGAAGAGTGTGTCTATAACTGCTGCCGGCGGCAATGTCCGGGGAAGGGAGCGCCCTCCCGAAGAGACGCAATCCATCGAATGTGCACACAGACATGGAGGAAGTGTACCTTGTATGCATTGGAGGAAGGCGGGGCGCTCTCAATCGATCGATTGCGACGAGACTTTAATAAATAGCGAGAGGGATGACAGACAAAGGGTGCGTAGCAGGCAACACAACAAATGTCGCGAGGAAAGACAATGAAATCGGAGGAGAGAGTAGCGCGCCATACGGTTTGTAGAGACAGTGTGCGGAGTGAGGAGAGAAGAGGCGATACATTAGTGCGACTCACAGCACGAAACATCATCTCAACAAAATTTCCATCGCTGAGAGTGGGGGACCGTCCCTCGTATCCACAGCAGTCTCTCTCCCCGGGAAGGACGCGCCATGAACCTCCCGCTTGGCTCGTCCGCCAACAGGCAACTACCGACACACACACACCCTCCCAACCGCCTCCACTGCACGCACAACAAATGATATGATGATGACGGAGAGCAGCTATGAGTCATCCACGTGCATACACACACACACACACATACACCTGTCGTTAGGGATGCTTAGCAGGGGACCGTATAATTGTAGAAATTTTCTCTTTGAATTATCAACGAAATAGTTTATAATGTGTTGAAAGGAGCAACTCTATCATGCAGAAAGGAGAACATAAAAGTGGGACATTAAGTCTCTGGGAAGGACATTAATGATTAGAAAGAGTCCTACTGCAACTTGATAAACATCTATCCCATTTGCAGGGACCGTATAATTCCATTTTTAATTCATATTCTAAAAATAAAATTCGCTCATATTTATGCTTCTGTTGTAACATATTTATGTTCACTAAAAATTAAAATTCTCGATGAAAATATAAAGCTTTTTTAGATTACAAGAGAATTAGAGCACTGCCAGTTTATAAAAACTAAGCATTAAGATAAGATGGAACTGCACATATTGGGAAAAAAAGAAAGACTTCTTGAGTTCCATAAATAACTTAAGAAAGTCATAAGATGTCATTTTGAGCAAATTAATATAGATTTCATAAAACACGTCGAAATAATATAACTTCCAATTTAGACAATGAAAATAATTCTTTCTGGGTTACAAATGTAAGCAATGTTCCCATCTAAATCTAGATTACTTATAATATTATTCTTAGAATGAAATTAGAGGAAAAGAAACAAATGTAGTGAAAACGAATTGTACAAAATTTAGCTTCTAAAATTAATCTAATCTCACTGCACGAGCATCAAACGCATATATGTCTACTATCCGTATCAAACCGGAAACTTAACAACAACTGTTACAATCTTAAAAAAAACTCCGGGATAACAGATTTTTTTTTTATCGACTTTGATTACTGAAATTTCAGGACTTACAGTTATATAACAATATTACTGAGAGACTATATGTTCCTTAAATCTTGATCAAATAATAAGCTAAAATGGAAAAAAAAAAGTAGAACTGTACTTTCAATTTGCAAAAACATTTAAGATAAATTGTAACATCACAAAGAGAAGATTTGACTTGACCAAAAAAGTAAACTGCATATTCATTAGTTTTTCTTTACCAGACGACATCCACCAAGATAGCATCATCAGTTCTGTTTATAGTTAAGAGAAAAACTTACTCGTCATTCCTATGAAAGATTTAAATATTCGGAAAAAATACATCCATAACTTCCGAATATTGTCAAAAAGGAAAATTTGCCAGAACAGATCCATAATAACAAAGAATTCTAATCGGTTGTTCAGTACTATTATACAGCACATAATTCATGAAACAATCCATTTTCTCGTCGTCTTAATGGCAAGAATATCCAATAAATATGAAATGCAATATACTGTATGATATTTAGTCCCATTATCAATAAAGATGTTCACAGGGTGAATATACGGCAATCAGAAATACTAGCACTATAACTGTCATGATCTGAAATTCAAAAATATTATGAAACCGAAAAACCAGAAATAGTAGTAACACAACTATAACGATCTGAAATTCAAAAGTATTATAAAGCCGAAAAACCAGAAATACTAGTAATACAGGTGTAGCGATCTGAAATTCAAAACATAAAACCGAAACCTGGATGTACAACACAAAGGAAATGAGATTTCTGGATAGGAAAATTTCTGACTTTCCTAATTTCAAATTCTAAAAAAATTAAAATAGTCGAAGGATTTAAGTGAAATAGAAAGAATTTTAATCTTATATACTGATTAGTATTGTAAAACTATTAAACTTCACTCCTGAATCAAACACAGCTTCTTATATGACACAGTTAAGCACCTCAAGCAACTCTTCCAAAACATATCAATAAAGAAACAACACATATTAGGTAAACCAATTCTACAAACTCAGCTAATTTGCTGATTATCACTCCGCTGCGATGATAAGACATATTCTTAGTGATTTATTTATTATGTGAGCAACAAACTCCTTCCCAGTATTATTAGACAAGTAGGCAGTAAGGCATTCTGATAATGACTTAATTTTAGGAAAGCTTTAGAAAAAATGGTTAAATGACACCAACAAAACTATAATATATCGACTTCTCCAAAATTTCGAACTTTTCCATAAATCCAAAAAGGGCACAATACCTAAAATATATGAGCTCCTCTACAAAGATAGATTGCCAGATTCTGCTTCTTAAATTATAGGATTCTAGAATGCAAAAAAATTACTGAAAGCGGTATTAGACATTAACTAGTTCCAATTTTGACTAAAAATGTTAGCGAGTAAAATACGACAGATGAATAAGTGGAGTCATGTGCAAATGGTTAAGGAGTTCAGGACAGGCAATTTTTTACAGCTAACTTTACACAGTCCATTACAACTAGTCGATGCTCATCGAGAACTGGTTCGATGATTCAAGATATATGCACCGCCTGTTATGCATTTTTCGTGAAAAGACTGCATCACAAAACGATAAAAAAACAAGCATCATAAACATGACTCGTCTCATATAATCTGTAAATTCAAACTAAATTCGATAATACGTGGGCTATGTGCAGAAAAAAATCACAAAAAATCCAAATGAAATTAAATGATCATATTACTTATGGTAGTTAAACTGCTATAAATCAAACAAACATGCTCGTTACTAACCTTTAATCCATCTTCATGCTCCTTTACAACTATAGCGGCACTCCGGAAAAGGATTTTACAAGCAGATTTGCTGAAATTATTATGAAAAAAACACGACAACATAACAATCAATATTTAGCTGCTGGCTTAACTCAACTCTGTCTTCAACACTAAAATACATTAACTTAAGAGTTTCAAAATATTCGACCAATAACGGTCATTTCCACTTTTTCTAAAGGAATTCAAATCAATGTTTTGTCGATTTCAATCAAAACAATAGTGGCTAGAGAAACAGATTACAGTATACTGAATAGGCATACAGATAATTTAATTGGTAGAAAAAAGGAAGTCGGAAGAATCAGAGTTGTACTTTTGAATCTGAAATTGTGATAATCTTCAGTGTTTACGTATCAGTTTGAACAGTAATCTCCCAATTCAACAGTATGATTAACCACATTCGACAGAGTGTTTTCGTTCAAAGGTTAACGCATAATTATAAAATCACCTTAACATACGAATCTTAAGACATTTTACAATTACAATGGTTTCGTATCAATCTTTATTGCTTTCCGGAATCAGAAATAGGTCTTCTATTTGCTTGGCTTGCAATGGCAGGCCATTTTCCACTTCACTCTGAAATAAAAAAACACTGGAAGAAAACATTAGAGATATGTCATGTTGACTTCAATTCAACCGACATCATTAAAAAAGTAAAATAACGACAAATAATATGGCAGTTACTCATTACTACGTCAGAGCAGTCTAAAATTACGTGATTAATCATTGCATATATTATTATCATAAGAGGATTGGATAACGCTGAGAACGGTTGCACTACTAGTAATCTACACAAACTAAAATGTCGTCCTCGTCCTCTCACTGAATCTGATTAACAGGTAAACAGGTAAAAAGGTGTCAACTGGATAATCGGGTGGTGAGACAAGGAGTTGATAAAAGTAGTCCATGAGGCAATTATTTGATCTATTATCCACCGGTCAGGATATAATCAATCGTTTAGAAAAGCTGAAATGTTTGTAGAAAAAATATACCGGAATAAATAACAACACTGCAAGGAACCGTTTCATTATCCGGTACGAAGAATAAAAGGAGAGGTGACCTATCGTCATTACTGATCAAAGTGATATTCTCGTATCAGCAGCACCCATCCATCCATCCATCTACACCATCTCCTCAATCAAGTCTTCTCCATTGATTTCATTTGGATCACTCGATCAGTCGGTCTGTCGGTAGGTCTATCGGTCGATTCGTTGGCCGCTTGGTCGTTATCGTTGTTGCGCTCCTTTTTCTGTTGCTTTCCTCCTGAGATAGTGGCATACTTACATACCCATACAGACACACACATAACATACATACACACACATATCACGCTCACATGCAAACAGGAGCACACACATATACACACACCAAACATATTAGTATTGTATGTGTGTATGTTATTATCGTGTTTGTATGTGTATGTGTGCGTATGTGCATCTACCCCACTATATGTTAAGGGAAAGACAGACAGACAGAGACACACACACACACACACAGGTACACCTTCATTCACAGCAAGCTTCAAAGCTGCACTTTCAAATCGCAACTTGACTGGATGGTTTGTGTCAAATCCAGTCATAACACACAGCCATCTCGAGCACTTCTTGCATAACGTCTCGTCTGGTTTGTACATGAAAATGCAAGAAAATCCTGAAATCATAGAGTGATTATATAATTTCTAATTCCGGAAATGAAATGGAAAGGAACAACAGGAATAAATGCAACTTAGCACTATGATTTTTTTTTTTTTTACAATTAATCCATTGTTAGCATTGGCAAAGCATTTAAGATTGTCTAAAACGATCAATAAGAAATTATCATAAATCTCGGATAAATGTTAATTTAACCGGATTGTTACACTCTCTCTAAAGAATACATTCATTCCTGTCTTGGGCACAAATCGATGTCTTTTATCTAAATGACGAATTTCTCCATTGAAATTTTTAGGACACCATATATCAGGTTACTCAGGAATTTTCAGTAATATCTCTCCTATAAATTAATGAATTATTGCAGCAAATTTAACATAAGAAGACCGCACTATACCTGATCATCCTTTTGTTCCTCATTTGTAACCATTATGTACCATTATGTTTAGAAGATATACCAAATATAGTCGTAAATTTTGCGCTTAATTTCTTGAAAATAAATTTACAAAAAAAAAAAAAAAAAAAAAGAAAAAGCATAACTTACTAACCTAAATTTCAATTAAAGTTAGTTCATGAAGGCACTTATCAACAGCAGCATTAAACCATTTACAAATCATTCGAACTGAATCAATAGTGAAGGAAAGAAGAGGGCGGGTTTTGTAAAGAGAAGACAACTCCGCGGGATTATTAATTTTCATGGCGATATGTTTGATTCACAGCACAATGTGTTGAAATGGCATTTCAGACCGTGTTTTTGGCGCTTCTGTCGCATTCTCCTCCGCATGTTACATATTTGTTGACTATATTGGTGTTTATTATAAATAATGTGGAATTGAAAGTGTTGGCAGCCTGCACATTACAAAAATATTTTCACTAAATATAATTACAGAAAAAAATTAGTTAGTTAGTATTCTGATAAAAAAGGACAAACTGTTATTTTTGACTGTAAAGATATCGTTATTCATTCTCGCTGTTTTAGAGATGGAAGTAAGGGAGATGGATGATGGAGATGAGGAATTGCTTAATGAAGAAGACATTATAAACATTATTCCACTGCATGATACCATGAATGGCTCCTCAGAAATATCCGATACAACATGTGGCGTTTCAGGGATTGATGGTACGATAGATTGGCATATTTTTTTTTTTTTTTTTCATTTCGGAAAAGGCATTCTATGTTAATTCATTTGACTGGGTAGTATCAGTGTGAACTTTTTTTTTTAATAGTTTTTCTTAATTTTTTTCTTTTAATCTATGTTTTTGCTTTTAAACATATCACATATATCATAAAGCTTTTTTTTTTTTAAAAAAAAAAAAAAAGAGAATATGAAATTGTCTTGCAATTAAAGAAAAATTTAGATGAAGATATGGAATTAGCTGAGAATAGTGATATAGAAATGAATGGCAATGAAGAATTTTCAAATGCAATAACGGAAGCTGATAATGTAATATCGGCATGCAAAGATGAAGCTTTTGTTGTCACATGTTTTCAAGATCAGTGGCTCGCTGTTGGTGGAAAAGATGATCAAGCCGTTTTATACAGTCTGCAAAGTAATCCTACATTATCAAGTTAATTAGTTTTGAGCTGCTTTCAATTTTTGTTTTTACTGATCTCTTGCATTTTTCTTTCCTTTGATAAGCCAATTTTGTATAATAGAGGTAAACTCCTTAACGTCTGTAATCAAATTACTGGTAAATAGTTTTGGTTCTTTTTGTAACTTTTCCAGAAATTTTGTGAATAACTTCGTTTGGTTTCGGAGACTATATACTAAATAGAATTTGTATTCTTTGTAAAATACGTGTTGATGTAATCCTATATGTTTTCCACTTGTCACAATTAATATTTTTAAGGTTTGGAACTAGTTCTGAAGATTGATGAACACAAGGATAGTGTAATATGTGCAGAGTTTAGTGTTGAGGGGCATCTGTTGGCCACTGGTGATATGAGTGGCCTGATTGTATTAAGCAGTACCAAGGACCTAAAACGATGTTTCTTAGTAAGAATTGCTTAAGCTTTGTAATCAGAAGATATTGCCCAACTTTTTTAGACTCACTAACGTAGAAGAATTCTTTGTCGTTACTTCGGTATTCTCCCCCTTTTTTAAAAATGGAAGCTTAGTTTATGTCATCTCTGACGGAAAGGAAGTGTAAAGATGGGTTTTCTTTTCTTTGGAATAAAAGATTCTTAGCTTCATTTGTTTAATTAATCGTTTGTTTGACATTACGTCCGAGTTCTTTTGGTGCTAGTAGCCACTTTAAAATAACATGAGTATTTAATTTAAAGATTGATGATTGTGAAGAGTTATCATGGATACGGTGGCATTCATCTGCAGACATTTTGCTTGCTGGTGGTAAAAATGGTGTTTGGATGTGGCTTATAACAAACGACAGTGTTCGACAAACAAAGGTTTCTATTATTTTTTTTTTATCCTTATAGCACTGTTCATGTGCATTTAGCGCTTCACTTTTTTTGTTTAGTGGATCATTAATATTTGTGATTAGAATTATTGCAAAAATATGTTTTTGTATTTGAAAGTTCAGGTGTACATGTGTGATTCACCTACCACATCTGTTGACGGCAAACTGCTTAGTGATGGAAAACGACTTCTTTCTTGCTATGAGGATGGTTCTGTAAAATTATGGTCTCTAAAAGATCAAACATCAGTTAGCATTGTGACAGGGGCTGAAAGCTCTACATGTATAGATGTTCATCATAATTCACCTGTGGCAATTATTGGAGATCTTATGGCACGTTGTTATTTTGTGAATATAGAATCCGCCAAGATATTAAGGATATTTGCAGTGGTTGAAGGAGTTACGGTAAAGATTTTCTTTATATTGTTCGCACTTTTTTTAGTGATAGATTGTTATTCTAAAAGCGCTCGTTTTCACAGTGTGTTAAATTTTAAGTTATTGGATTTACCAATTTTCAGTCTTTCGAAGTAACAATCGAATGCGTGAAATTTTGTCCAACAAAAGAGCCGTGGTTCGTCGTTGGTACTAATTCTGGACGTCTGGCAATATATGATTTTAGTGCGAACACTTTACGCCATATTTTGAAAGATGATGCTGATCCGGTAGTTACCTGTCGATGGTACATGAGAGATTCGAATGAGATGTACATTATTGGTGCTGGTTATAGTGGTATGATTAAGATCTGGGATAGTCGAAGTGGATTACCCGTCTTAGTAGGTTCTTTTCATCATTATTTAGAAGCAGTCTTTGAGCTCACATAAGATGTCATTCCTGTCCTAAGAATCTAAGATTTGTGACTGAAATTTCATATAAAAATGAAACATTATACCGGAAATTATTCACCTTTTTCATGACATTCTTAATAATTTTTCAACTAGAAATTTGAAATTTCTTCATTGTTTTTCATATTTTCAGAAACCTGCATATATTTGGATGACTTTTAATGTTTAATTTTCTAATTGAAAAATAAATGATTGTATTTTTTCTAGGTAATGCTGTCACAAAGTATTGCTATGGAAGGTTCTCATTTGCTCTCAATGGATTTGTCTGTGAAAGGACCCATTTTATACGCGTCATATAGTTCTGGACAACTTTGCAAATTTTCTTCTATAAACCGGTGAAATCACTCTATTCGGTGGTCTTATTTTAGAACCTCACTGTTTTTAACTAGTTTAAGATTTGGAAAATCAGAGTTTTCTTCAGTTATTTTTAATTGTAAAACAGAAAAACCCGTTTAGATTCGAACGTGTTTTATAAAGTTGAGGATCTAAGAATCAACGAGGTCCTGCCTTCCATTTCCCTTTTTCATTTGTTATTGTTGTATTATATTTAATGAATAAAGATTCCTAGAGTTTGCGAAACTTCTATGATTCGATATGAAGGAATCGTTGCATATATATATATATTTTTTTAATTTTTAAAAATTATGTATAATGTTGCGAAAAGAAGAGTCCCAGATCTTATATATTTATTTTGTCGTAATTATCGTTGTTTTCCATTCTTTTCTTTTGCTCAACACGCGATCTCTTTGTATCGTATGTTTCATAATTTATATTAATATATTATTTATATTATTTGTCGTTTTGATAGTGACTTTAAATTTAAGTTTCAGATGTCTTACCAATTATATAGATCGACAACATTGGGGATAGCTCTTCGAAGTACCTTAGATGAATTTGTCGAGGTGAACTTCTATTATTTTAATTTTCTGTTATTTTTTCTCGCGCAAAAGTGATCCCGATTGTGCTGTTTCGACATAACTATTATATATCATTCATGATTGCAGGACGGTACAATTACACCATCCCTAGCTCAAACGGTACTGACAACTTTCGACAAATGTATTAACAGGGCATTATCCCAGCGAGTTAAAAATAAGGTTAATTTCAAGGTAAGTGAGTTTTAGTCTTACTCAACATCTTTAAAATCCCTTCATGAAACATGGTTTCCAGATGAAAGGCAAGCGGTACTTTCTTATTTGGTCATAGGTATTTAACTTTGTTAAGTTAAATAGGTATGTCATATGTCATAGGTATTCATATGTCATAGGTATTTAATTTTGATTTCCTTGAAATTTTCCCGCGATCAAGATATCGTAGGAATCTTTTTTGTTCTTTTTTTTTTTGTTTTTGTCGAGTGTTTTCAGTCGAAAGGGAAAAAATTGAAATGTAAAATTAGGAGTAAACGATTGAGATGGATAAATAAGATTAAAATTTGATTGACATGTTTATAAATTGATTAAAGAACGCAAAATTAGTGCTATGTTGTACCTTAGGATATGTTAACTTTTCTGGGGAATGGAAAAGTGCTAGAGGAAATAAAAAATATGAAGAGAAGGAATTTTTTCACATCCATCTTTCTATTTTTCATTACAGGCTGACAAACTAAAAGCATATCGATTTTGTGACAATGTTTGGACATTTGTAATGGAAAACGTTGAATTCCGTGATGTGACACAGCCGGTAGACGGGGTTGTTGACCGTGTTAAAATAGTAGCGTGTGATGCAAGTGCCGCAAAACTAGCCAACACGTAGAACATTTAGGAGAGGACATTTATACACTGTATAATGCTTTATATTGTCTTGTCTGAATATACTATATTAGCTGATGTTAAAAAAAGAATTGCTTAAATGAACCCATATTTAGGGTTTAGCAGTATGCACCGTTTCGTCATTATATGATCCTTACATGTTAAGGCGGACCTAGTTGATAGTTACGTTCGAAATGACATGGGAATTTATAAAAATAGTTAAATATATAATAGAAGGAAAAAGAGGTTTTCAGTTAGCTACTTATGACAATTTGTTAAGTTCGATTTTCAGTATGATTGACACTTCTCGTTATCACTTTCTCTAAACATCTTTGCTGATATTGTCCTTTTATCTACAGTATTGTATTACAGGGTATAAAAAGTGATAAGACAAACAAAAAAACTGACTACATGTTGTTTGTATTCATCTTATTAATATGAAATATTTTGACACCTTAGAGAAATGTATTGTTTTTCGTGTTATGACAGCTTAGAGGAATGTATTATTTTTCGTGTTTTTTTTTAGAGATAATAATTGTTTGAAAAGTTTTAATAAGCAGTGTTTTGAGTAGCAAATTTCCCCACTGAGGTTTTTTTTTTTTTTCGCTTTAGCAATACTTCTGTATTCAATTGAATTTTCCAAATGAGAGTCTTTTTTGACTTTCTGTGGGGATTTTTGTGGTTTTATATGTTCGAAATGTATTAAAAAATTTTTCTGCATCGTGTATTGTGTTGTATTCACTAGTCTGTGTTCAGCATTGACTGGATGTTGAGGTATGCTAATTACCATTTCAAAGGGATAACATATTTCGACGAATCACTAAAAAACTGAGTAGTGGTTAAGAGAAAATAATCCATTTGACTAGTTTTATTATCAAAGAGCGCAATTTGCTGAGTGGTCGTATCCATCACTGTTATATCCAGTCGAATATGTTAGTTGATGTGGTTTGAAATATAAGGTGTAGGTGAGAGGTTGAGGTTTGTTATTGGCAACTGATCGGGAATAGAGGCTCACTGGAATTGTTATTGGTTTCTTGATGATTTACACAAGTGTTCCTTTGTAGAAATTTTAATGCTAATCGCCGATTGCTTTTAAATTCTTTTAAAAACTAAGAAGATCACTATCTGTAAGCAGCTTTCATTTATACAATTTCAAGAATTAATGTTAAATAAGCTGCGGAATTTATACATTGTGAACGATTAATCTAAGGTTAGTTACATTCTTTTTGTAACAGTACTTTGGTTCATTTCATTACTTTAATCATTATAAGATGCGTTAATTGGTAATCAAGATGAAGTTTAATTCATATGATCGCAGTCGAACGCTATTTGAGTAACTAAATTAAATATTCGAGAAAGTTTTATTTTATCAACCGCTTCTCTAAGTAGTCAAGCCTCTTTTCTCTCTGTCACACTACTGTCACATCACGTAAAACAGAGCTAATTAAAGAAAATCATTTCTTTGTTAATGTTATATTTCTTTTTTGGCAAACATTTAAAACAGTAATATATTATTTTACAAAAGAAATTTAATTTCGTTTAAATAACACTCTATGTAATTCTCTTATTGTATCTTTTCACAAAATATATTATTAAAATTGAATTAGCTATAAATAATTTACGTTGAAATATTAAATTTCTGTCTTTTAATTTTCATTGAAGATAAAAGTATACTATATCATACGGATATAATTTGTGGATATTACGGCTCTTATCGATCTAATTTCATGGAATGTTTACAAAAATGTAATAATGCTAATATCTAAATGATAGCTTATCTATAATAATTTTCAGTTAGAATGCAACGTAAACTATAGCAAAAAAATTGTTAGAAAGTTGGATAAAAATTAAAAATTTTTTTTCTAAATTCAACTGAATCAATAATTTCTTGTCCATAGAAATTTGCATAAACAAATAATTATAAATAAAAATTTTTTTCTTATTATATTATAATGTCATTTATAGAAGTTACTTATTTTCTTTATACTTTTCTTTACTCTTGTTAATGATATAATAAATTTTAAGTTTCTACATTTTCGAATTTTTTGATATTTATTTATTCAAAATCTGATAGAATATTGTAATTAAAAATTGGAAAAGTTAATTAAAAAGCATTAGCCTTTTAGGCAATATCAATCGATTATATTAATGAGAATAAATATTTTTGAATTGAAAGTAAAACTTAAATAGAATAAAGTATGAAATTTTTAAATTTGAAAATTTTTATATCAAAAATTAATGTAACAAAATATTAGTTAATAGAAAAATTATTCATACAAGAATATTAAATATTATTTCTAAAATATCTAATTTAAAAATATTTTATCTAAAACATCTAATGAAGTACTTAATGAAGCACTGATGACACGGATAGCATTGGTGACAGTCAAATCTATCACAAATGCCGTAATTACTAACATTTCAATTTTATCTGCTTTACCATTAAGCGTAGTGTAATTATAAAGAAATATAGTGGCAATTTTGCATTGTAATAATAATGCCTTATTGTCATGGAGACGTAAAGTGATAAAGAGAGAATCAATTGTAATCACTGTTGTCCTTTGAGATCAATAATTTCATTCATACTTATATTAAATATCTTTCATTTGATTATTAATGGAACAAATAATTTTGAGTTAAAAACTAAACTTAAATCAAGAATAAAGCATAAAAATTGAAATTCAAATAATTTTTCAATTCTATAATTAATTATAATACTGAATAAATCATTTTGATTTTAATATTAATTACATTATTAGATTTTTATAAAATAATTTTATAAAATTTATCAAGAAAATTGCCAGTGCTATTTTCAATTTTTATTTCTTTTCTAAATTAATTGGTGCAATATGTTGGATTATGTTTATTCAAACGTTTCAGTCATTTTTTCTTTTGCATTTCATTAAAGATGATTTTGTTAAATTTGATATAATTTTATAAAACAATAAAAAAGTTTATCGAAAAAAATTTTCGGGAAAACAATGCTATTTTCAATTCTTCTTCGTTAAATTAAAATTTCAAAGTTTGTTACATCTATCAAATCAAAACTAGCAAAATGATTTGAAATATTTTGGCTATCATTTCAATATCACTTTTCATTTCACATTTTTAAATCAACTAAACTCTTATATACTTCTCTCTGACTCGTAACAAATAAAGTCACAAAGGAATAAGTGAGATGAGGAATAATTTAAAAAATATTTTTAAAAACTTCAAAAATGAGGAATGTAGCAAAGAAATTCGTTTCAAACATAAAAAACAATTTTATGTTTGCTTTCATCATTGTTTATTTGTAATTCAATCTCTCAATTTACACTCTTTTTTCCTTTTCATTGTTAAACATTAGACTGAAAATCACTTTTTTTAATTGAAACTTTTGAAATTTTTTCCGCATTTAAAAATTTGAGAGTTTTAGCATTAAGAATACGACAAGAAAGCGCCATGCTTTTCTTGTTTAATTCAGCTATGCAATAAATTCGATGAAATTTCATTCTTCAATATTATAGTAATTATAAGTGTGAGCGATCATAAAACTTAGAAATAAATATAAGCTAATATTTATAAGAATTTTAAATGTGTGATGAAATAAAT